AGCACTTTATACATGCGTATTGTGCTACATGTCATTCGTCTCAAGGGGCGTCTGTAGATAAAAGCATTACTGTACACGAATGGGATAGATCACATTGTGTCAGCCGTGAGTGGATTTGGACAGCGATTACAAGGTGCAGAGATATCAATAAAGTCAAGTTGTTCAAAGCAGACATAGATGATACTGACTTAAATGAAGCACAATTAACCAGATATTTAGAACATAAGATTAAACAATATAAATTACAAGACATGAAAGCAGAGAGAGAGATAGAAAACAAAAAATATATTGATGTCAAATGGTTATTTGACAGGCTTAATACCAGATGTAATAAATGCAGTTCAGAGTTTGAAATAGAAATAAATAATGGAGTAATAAATAGTAATATGACAGCCCAAAGAATAAACAACGATTATGCCCATCATAAGGAAAACTGTATATCTTACTGTTTAAACTGTAATCGCCGGGAAAATAATATCTATCTATCTTATTTTATATGGCATCTAAGCAAGATATTATTAATAATGTTTATTATGATAAAGGAGGCTTCGGGTCAAAGAACCGCACTTTACAAGAAGCAGGAAAAAGGATAACACAATAACTATAAACGATATTAATGAGTTTTTTTAGGAAGAATGTAGAACAGAAAGCTAAACCGAGAGGGCAGAATTCATTTGTAGCTCCTAACGCATATTATGAGTTTCAAATTGATTTATTTTTCATTAATGATATCCGTAAACAAAAAATGAAAGTTGGCATGATGTGTATTGACATATTTTCCAAGTATATGGTTGTTGTCCCGCTTATGTCAAAACAGCCAGCGGACATTTTAGCAGGACTGATGGAATGTATTAAAAAATGGGTGGAAAGCCCAAACTAATTTATATTGACGATGAAGGAGCTTATAACAATCAAAGTGTTATAGATTTTTTGAAGGGTGAAAAAATAGAGCTGCACAGAATCAGAGGTCACCCAGCATTCGCGGAGAGGGCGATAAGGACGTTTAAAGATAGCTTGTATAAGAGGGTTGAAAACGATGAGAAAAAAGGAAAGGCTATTCAATGGACAGACTACATACACGAGATTATATTAACTTATAACAATGGAATAAAGCACACTTCGCACGGCTTAACACCGTCAGAAGCAAGAAGCTTAAACATCAATTAGAAGTGAGTTTAAACTTAGGTATGAAAGCCAAAAGAAATAGAGTTTATCCAGATTTAAATGTAGGAAATGAAGTTAAGATATTCAGGAAAAGGAGACCAAATGAAAAGGAGAGAGTAGGAGTATGGACTAAACAAACCTACAAAATAGCAAAGATTGAAAAGAAGTTAGGACAGGAATATTATTATATTGAAAATTATGACAGGGCATTTTTGAGACATGAGTTATTAAAGGTAGAAATTTATTTCTTGGAAAAAGTATTTATAGAAATACAAACTATATATATTTTTAAATAGAAATGGTGGAAACCAAAATCAATAATTATATCAATAAGAAATGCTACGACTGTTGCCACTTCAAAAAAGGAAAATATGGAATTGCATAAATTGAATTTTCCTAATGGAATAGTTAATAATATTATTGATTATTCTTTGGATAAAAAATATATATGTAGAACATGTAGAAAATGGAGATATTACCAAGAAGCGATCGAATATAATTTGGACATTAAAAGGTTTAATGAAAGAAATGTTGAAGATTACATTTTGATTTTTTTAACTGTGTCTGAAATACCACCTTATGATTATGTTAAAGCATTTCTTGAAATCAGTAAGAAAATATGAAATTATTCACTACATATTATGGGCATTGATTTATCAAAGAAAAAGAGGATGTGATGTAAAAACTCATTAAATCATATACTGAAAGTGAACAGTTTAATGTTCAAAATATGGTGATAGATATTAATATTATTTTTAAAATGATGTATGAAAGAGGTAAGATGTATCAATTAAATAGTTATCCTGAACTGAAATTATAATCGTACTATAATAATAACATGAAAATATTATATGTTATAATGATAATGTAAGTATAGTGTTTTATATATTGAAGATAAAATCCTACAAGGAGGACCACGCCTAAACAAATATATGATGAAACTGAAAACGAAGGAGGGGGGTGATGTTGTTGCTGTTGTATTTTTTGTCTGAGAAATGGAAAAATCGTTTTTAGACAGTTCGAATATTTGTTTGATGACAAATATGTTTTGCAATATATTTTGCATTTGTTTTTTGAAATGGATGAGGTGAGGAGATTGAGGAAATGACATTTTGAAGGGTAGTTGGTGAAATGAATGAGGCGAGGAGGAAGGAGAAAAGGATGGCGACAATTTTGGAAAAATGATGAGAAAAAACGGATGAGATGGACAGAAAGGAATTTAGAAAAATGATGAAAACGAATAAGGGTGGAAGATGGAAGATGGAAAAAGTTGTAGGGGGGGTGTATGTATGAAGCAATTTATTTGCTAGGCGTGGCCCTCCACTACTTTTTTGGCCTCCATCTAACTACCTGGACCCTCAAACAACCCAAAAAAAAAGATTCCACCAAACATAATGCTGGCTTGCTATATTCTATTTTTAAGTTGGAATTTTGAGACTCCAGGTACCCGGTTTGGATTGTGGCTCAGTCGGAGGGAAGCACACCATTTTTTCAAGCGCCGAGGTCGAGCTCTTCGATGCGCGGACCCAGGTTTGGTCAGTGCTCGAGCACCGCCTGTCCTTTCCCAGGACCGTTGCGTTGCCCCCCTTTCGGGGCGTATCGGACGGACGGACGAACCGCGCGTGGCCAAACCAACGGACCCAATGGCAAGTGGCAGTTTGTGTTGATTGACGATGACTTTTCTTGGCAAGTTTTGAAGAAAAAGGAGAGCCACCATTTTAGGGGGGTCCGAATCCTGAAAGAAGACACACCCAAGTGGCTTGCCAACCAGACACATGGGTTGCTTGGCGCTTTTAAGTTTTTGGGGAGGGCCCCACAAAATCAGATGGGCCTTTGTCTCACGACTGGTGGAGTTTGGGTGTTTGTTTGAATTCTTTGTCCCACGACTCGTAGAATTGGCGGATCCAGTTGTTTGAAGAACAAGGGTTGTATCCCAACGCACTTCCCCTTGTTCAGGCCCCTGCTTGAATATTAAGTTCATGTTTAGCCTGTAGGGAGTCTATCACTGCAATTACCTGGAGTCTCCAACTACGGACCCTTTAAAAATGGTTGTCCACTTACCCAAAACAACGGCGTGACCCCGTGCTAGGGTCCTGATGGAGACTCCAGGTTTCTCCCAAGCCCTGGGGGGAAGGGTTGCGGCAGTCCAGACCTGGGTCCCTTTTTTACCGCAGCTGAAATGGCTGGTCAACCAAATGTGCCAAAAGGGGATCCTCAAATGGAACCAAAGACGAAAACCTGCGGTTTGTCGCAGTTGTTTCATTTTGAGCGACACCCAAAATGGATTTCACCACACTGGGGCAAGTCCCAAGTTCGCACCAAGCTTTTGGCTGGCTCGAGAGACCGAGGTTTCGAGGCAACTGAGGTTGAATGAAATGCGTGGGTCAACGTTTGGGACTGTCATGTGCTCGATGATTGTGAACTCTTTGGGCTGGCTTCCTAGTGTGGGTTGATGAAATCCGGCACCGCACGAAAGAAAACCATGGTTGAAACCAGAACCTTTGTCGGTATTTGCAATCGGATCATTCCAGGGTTTCTTAGCTGCGAAATGGGTTTTGCGACCATCCAAAGTAGAAAACCCTTTTAGGGGAGGCGCCACAAACTCGTGAGCTTTGGGTTGAACGTTGATCAAGGCTTCATCCATCAAGGGCAAAGCTTTCCCGACCAATGTGGCCTTTCGGGCTTCGGGTTGAGCGGGCTCGCCTTTCGTCCGCCTCACTCGGGCAAGATGATTCATGTTATTTGGATACACCCCCTACTCCAAACACCCACTGTTTTTACAATATATGTTTTTGAGAAACCTGGGTTTCCATGGTTGACTCTGTCTTTTTTTTAGTACAGGGTCGACATCATACCCTAAAAAATGAAGGTGTAAGGGGTAGACATGATCAGACAACATAGAATAGAATGGATTGTCACTTAGCTATTGACAAAGTAAGTGGTTCCATTTTCCACCAGATGGTTTGGGATCTATTTTCGTTGACCTTTTCAGTATTACCAGTTTGAGTTAAATGATTCAGCTTGTTTGTTTTCCATTAAGAGGGTTTGCGACCTGTTTCGTTGACAAGCAACACATCGACGCCTTGAACCAAAGAGCCAAATGTTGTTTAACCCGGCTGTTGTTCATTGCGGGTTGCCTCAGATGTGCCATGGTCAAAGGAGCTGAATTCCTTTGGGTCAAGAGGGATCCTCATCTAACTGGTAAGGATCTCTGTCGCCCAGTGGTGCCCTTTTTGTTTCTTTTTTGGAGAAGGCTTCCCCTTAGTGGGACGGCCTGATTTTTGGCTTCGGCCAGGATGTGGGCTCCACTCACTCCAATTGGGCAATGTGGCGGAACCAACAGAAGAAGGGTGCCCTTTTTTCCCATGGCCACTGGGCATCTGGGGGATCCTTTCAAACCGTCATACTGATTCCTATGCTGGAAACCATTACCATAGGCCACACGAGTTTTGACCATGGGTTTGACCACTGGAAGTTGGCGGGTTTAGTGGTTGGGTTTCCGTATTTCACCCACGAAAAGTTGAAGCTTTGAGTAGGAAATCTAAGCACGCCCGCTGTGTTCTGGTTTATGTACGTTGCTCCGGTAGCCTCAGGCTGACCAAACAAATGCGAAGGGATCACATTTTGTTCGGATCGAGCAAATGCCATACACAAAATGGGGGGGGTATATAGCCCCAAAATGGGCATCAGCCCAATACAATAAGGTAAACTAGACGAAAACTGACCCGATCCAACCCGTATTGGGGAGTCAATGGGGTCTCCGCCCGCCACCGGAATGCTCAGCTGCGCGCATGCGGTTTCCGGCTCACGCTCGCTTGCGCGTGCTCTTAGCATTTTGCTCTCAGCTGCTGGTCGTTGCACCGAAACCTGTCAAGATCATGGCTCTCCCCTTGAGCTGCCCCGTGCTCGCACTAGGGGGTGGGCTCTTGTCGAGAGGAAGCCAATGTAGGTCCCCTAGCTAGGTGCCCTTTCTCACCGTTGTTTTTTGGTTGAGAGGAAATCTGGGTCCCAGCTAGGCCCTTTTGAACCCCTTTTTGGCTCGGAGAGGGTACCCTTATTCTAACCTTTCTACTGGAGGACCTAGTGAGGAATCAGCTGGGTCACGGGTTCTGCTTTCCACCCGTTTGTTCCTGTTTCGTCTCCTTAAGGACCCGTTCAAATTTCCTCTTTTTTTATAAAACACAAAATGGTGGGTCATGACCTGAAATCATGGTTGGTCATGGACCCATTTTTGAAAACCAGGTCCTTAGGGCGAAAGGTTTTGCCTTTGGTTCTTAAGCATTTCGCGCTCGGGAAAGCGGACAGCGGAAAGCTTAGGTGAGCTGTCCCTATTTTTTGGGTTCCGGGAATCTCATGCAAATACCTGGAAAGTCAAGCCCCGAATTGGACCTTGAAATAAAAATGGGTCCATGACCAACCATGATTTTTGGGTCTGACCAACAATTTTTTGAAGGGTCCGATTCGGGAGACTCCGGGTGGTTCTAAAGGAGGGTTTTAGAAAATTCGGCGGCTGTTGGAGAAAATGACCCGGGCTTGTGGACCTTTGTAGCGGTAATTATAAATCAAGCAATCGAAGCATCGGAAGTGGCTGCCTTTTGTGAGTGTTTACCCCCTTTAGCCTAATTAGGGCTCCTTAAAAGATACATTTTGCTCATTTGAAGCATGGCTTTTTCCACCAAAATAAAGGGACACCACCATTTACAAGGCAATGTTCAGGTGTATAATGTAAGGATCCCTGCTAATTTAGCCAAGGTTCCATCAGGTCTACTTGGACAAACTACCCATGAAGTTAAACAGGGCTCCTTAAAAGATACATTTTGCCCATTTGAAACATGGCTTTTTCCACCAAAATAAGTTGGAAACCATAATTTACAAGTTGCAATGTTCAGGTGTATAATGTAAGGATTTTTGTCTAAGAAAGGAGGTGTTTGTCATGAATTTAAATAAGCACCCCCCTCAGCCATGCCCATTGGGAGGCCTTGATCCTCAAAATGTGGGGGCCTTGCATTGGGGGTTTCAAATGACTAGGTCCAAAAAGCAATTGGTGCCCTTTCTCACCCGATTCGTTTTTGCTTGAGAGATTCGCTTTCCCTACTAAAGTAGACAACACACACAAAAAAAGAAACGTTACCCTTATCCTAACCTCCAAAACTGGAGGACCTGGTCTAAGAAAGGAGGTGTTTGCCATGAAACCCTGGAAAGTGGTTGGGCATAAAACCCCACCTGAAAGAGGTCCACCAGAAATTGCCCGAAGTAACATTCATGCCCATGGGTGTTTCAGGGAATGTCAACCTACTGAGAAAGGACGTTTTTTTTTTTTTTAACGTGGATCAAACAGAGACCTCAACCATTTACCATGATTTGCCATAGACAACTCAGGTTTGGCAAAACAATAGCAAACACCTCAAACAAGCCTATGTACTATGGAAAACCAGGTTAATCAAAAGAATTACCCTTAAACACGGTCCGGATATTTGGAGATCTAGGTCCCCCAGTAGCGCCCTTTCTCGCCTTTTTTGGTTGGTAGGGTTCCCCTACTAAAATAGACGACAGAAAAAAAGATGGCACCCGTACTTTGTTGCATTTTGCTTGGATGTTAGGACTTTAACTTTTTACCAACTAATGAGCTTTCCGTATTAAACCACTAAAAGTTAGTCACTGTTAGCAGGGCTTCGCAGATTTCGCAACCGAGCTTATTCCAAGCTCCAAAACTGGACCTAGCAGATTTCTCCAAGACCTCCTGGACCCCCAAACGACCGATCCCTGTTTTTTGCCTACCCAGACAAAAAGAAAGGTACAATGCCAAAGAACAAGTCCATGGGTCCGGTCTTTTAACATTTGGGGCTCCCAAAAAAAAGTGTTGGTACCCTTCTTCCAAGCTCTCTGGAGCTACGAATTAATTTTTCTCCGAGACCTGTGAGACGCTAGGCATGGAAGCCCACCTTGGCGCGGACTTGTTGCAAGAGCTCCAGCCCCCGTGCCTGCTCAGCTCCATCGGACCCTTCGCCGTTCGCCGCTTCTGCCGCTTTTGGTCGGTCGGTAGTCTTGCTTGGTGGAGCTTCTTCTAGGTCTCGCAGCTAGGCGCCCTTTCTCGCCCTTTTTGGGGGGCCCCTACTAAGATAGACTACCGAAAAAAAGGGGACCCTTATTCTAACCTCTCTACTGGAGGACCTAGTCTTGATTCATGCTTGACTCACTTGAGCAATCAAAACTCGGGCAAGTCAAGTGTTCAGGGACCATCCCAACCACGCATGGGTGCGGATATCTGCCCTTTTGATTCTTTATATGGCCTTCCTGGCACCCCGTATGGCTGTTTTTTTTCTTCTTTTTTTCGGTCAAACTCCCGGATTTGGCCGTATTTGCCCGTATGGCCATGATTTTTCGGAAATTTGCGTAAATCACCCGTAGGAAACCCATATTTGTTAGACATGTTGTTGAAAAAAAGCCGTAAAAAAACTGTATGGCCATTTTTTCGGTCAAAGGCGTATGACCAAAAAAAACGGCCATATGGGGTCCCAGGTTGGTTAGACGGTTAGACCATCTTAATCCCAAATTATGAGTCTCTTGTCTGCAGAGCAAATCCACCTAAACCGACCTTTTGTGGACTCCCCAAAATGGGTTCGTTGTTCCTGTTGGTTTTCCTTTAAAACCACCCAACAAGGGTACCAATTCGAAGAAGGCAGACCCTTGTTCCCAAAGGTGACCTTTTTTTGCCCTGGGTCCCGTCCGGGCAAGTGAGTTGAAGGTCGGCCCGGAGACATGTTTGTCTGAAAATAGGGGCTGGGCGGTGGCTCTTCGGTTTGCTTCGTTTTTTAGACCGCCCGGAAAAAGGAATACCCTCAACAACAAGACAACGCCATATGGGTGTGTCTTTTTTTCAGAGAACGCCCCCAAAATGGGTTTGCCTTTTCGTTTCCCTATAAAGCCACAAAAAAAGGGGTATACACCCAACAAGGGACAAAGCCATATGAACCCGGCATCTCCTTTGAGCGCCCGGCTGGCCTGTATCTTCCAACGAGCGTTATTTTCTGCTCAAGCTGGTACCCCCTACTCCAAATACCCACTTTTTCTTGGGTATTTTTTGGAAAACCTGGGTTTTCAAGGTAAATATTATTTTTTAGTAGAGGGTGGACATGATACCCTAAACAAAGTAGGTATTGGGTGTAAGGGTATTTGATATGCTCTTTGCTTTTTCGAGCGTTTTTTGGGCAAACGAGCGTGATTTAGTCTTCGAGCATTCAAGCAGCCAACTGGAAGGCTGCTTCGCAAAGGAATTGAGGTTTAGTTGGAGCACACTTTGCGCAATGTGGTCAATGCTTTGAACAGAGCAGCAGCTTTTCAGGATGAAATGGGAAGGCCGCACAACGAGCGCACATTCCCGCTGCAAAAGCTCAATTTCCCGCCACATGAGCGCACATCAAAAAGTGCTAGTTTTGTCACGTTCGGCGCGCTGCAAATCTTGCACATGAGTAGCAGAACGACTGAGCCCACACGATGGACGGTTTCTTCTTTTTCGATATCTTGAAGCCAGCGCTTTCAGGTAAACTCGCGGTTTTTTCTGCACGAGCGGAAAATAACGCTCATCCCCAGAGGCTCCTGGGGCTTTCAATGCATCCATTAGACACCCAAAAGGAGCTGTTTGGGGTTCTCAGTTGAATCGGGCCCAAAAAACATCGAATTGGAGCCTCTGGGTCGGAAGATCCAGAGGTGAACTTTCATGATGGATTCACTCGTTCAATGGGAAAGCCGCAGAGGTTGGGACTCGATTTCGGGATGAGACTGAACAAAGTTGCGGAACTCACTCCCTGAGTTCCGGTACTCCGACTTGAGTCCCTTTGTTTGGGGTTTGGTTGCTAATTTAGTTGTACTTCGCTGTTGGCTTGGTTCTGTTCAGTGGTTGGTTCGGGGGCTGCAAGAAGCAACGTGTTTTGCTACCACACCACGGCTTGGAAGGGCAAACAGAAAGTTGGGTTACTTGTTTCGGCCCAGCCACAAAGAAAGTGAGGCGTCTCCCTGGAGTCTCCATGACCCTTTAAAAATGGGGTCTTTATTTCTGTTAATGACCCCTTGTTTTAGGGTCTTGGAGACTCCAGGTCCCGATTTTTGTCAAAGGGGCTGGAGGAAATCGAGTCTCTGATTCGAGCAGATTGAACGTCTTGGCTTCTTATGTTCGGCTTTGGGACTCTGAGACGAGATCTGGGTTTGTTTCAAAATAGCGGACCCCCCCATGGGTGTCGGGTCCTTTTGGTTTGTGAAACTAGCACCAATCAACATTCCTTTGGTGCATGTTGCTTGGATGTTAAGACGTTAAGTTTTTGCCAACTAGTGGGTTTCCATTAAACGACAAAGAGTTAAACTGTTAGCAGGGGAGCATAAAGCAACCGAGATTTGGTACCTTCACACCAAACGACACACAGCCACTGTCTGCAGGAAAGACCATGCCATACTCCGGCAAGTTCACCAAGACGGATGAGATGGGGTTGGATCTGTCGCCACTCGGATCGCTGGTCCTGACGAGGGCACCAGGGTGTGTTTCTCAAATTTTGTCTTTAAGAACTGAGCAGAGGTAGTCGCAACCCAAGCCAAACCAACCCCGCGGGTTGCCTAAAGAAGTGGGTTTGTCTTTGAAACTAGGGAACCCACAGTAAATGGTCTTTACCTGGAGTCTCCTTTTGGGCCCTTTAAAAATGGTTGGTCCTTGCCCAAAATGGTTGTTCATGGATCGGGAGACTTCAGGTACTTGCCTCTTGCTTGTTGAAATGGCTCGCTAGTCCCTTAGTTTCTCCTCAAAACCATTCGAAATTGCTGGGGTTGATCCTTGAGACTGCAGGTAGCCCCCAGCACCCCCAGTGTCCTTGCTCACCCCTATAGATTCGGTTCCCCTAAAATAGACAGAAACAAGTTGGTACCCTTATTCGAACCTCTCCACTGGAGGACCTAGACAATAACTCTACTAACCTAAAATACTACCACTGGAGGTCATGGACCCATTTTTCCCCAGATGGCTGAAAGCTATAGGGGTTCTAACTTCTAATAAAGGGGGGAAAGTGATTTGCGAGATTGATGGGCTGGTGCTAGGGGGCGTGTGGTTTGGGGTGCTGGTGTAGGTGCTGATTGGGGTGCTGTTTGAGGTGCTGATGGCAGTGCGTGTGCATCTTTTCAAGATTGACGGTATGCAGTTTGGGGTGCGGTGCTGTTTTGGGGGGTGACGGTGCGCGCGCATGTTTGCATCTTGACGGTAGGACGCAAGGGGGAATGCAGTTGGGGTGCTGCTGCCGATGGTGCTGTGGGACGCAGTTTGTGGGGAGCTGTTTGAGGTGCTGGTGACGGCGCGGGCGCATTTTTGCGATATTGACGCTCGGGTGCTATCGGGCATGCAGGTGACGGTGCAGACGCATGTTGGCATCTTGACGGTAGGGTGCAAGGGGGCATGCAGCTTAGGTGGTGGTTTGGGATTCTGTTTGGGGTGCTGTTTGCTTTTCGCAAGATTGACGGTTGGGTGTCTTGGGGGGTGCTGTTTGGGGTGCTCTTCAGGGTGATGGCGCGGGCACATTTTTGCTCAATTGATGGCCGGGTTTTGCTTGGGCCGTTGTTTGGGGGGTGCTTTTGGAGGTGCTGGTGTGCAAGCGTTGCTATCTGGGGTCTATGCAGGGGTCTATTTTTTTTAATTTCGGGTTTTTAGGGCGACCCCGGGTAGCCTCATGTTTTTCTTCGGGTTTTTAGGGCGACCCCAGGTACCTGGAGTCTCCATGACCCTTTAAACATGGGTCCATGACCCCATTATGTTTGGTAATGACCAACCATTTTTAAAGGGCCTCACTTCCTGAGTTCATGAACTTTAAACTTTTTGGGAAGACCATTTTAGCAGCAACTATAAAGTTTGGACTTTTTTCGGGCCATCCACTCAGCGAGTGCGGGGCCATGGAGACCCAGGTAGCCTCAAGAACCAGGGCGTCACATCCATCGATCGAGTTCGCTCGAGGTCCAGCGCCAGCACTGCCTCGGAGGTGCAAAAGTTCCCGGCGCTTTGGGATGAGACGCCCACCTGCAGCCTCAGCTGGGGGCTTAGTTCAAAGCAGACGGGCGCCCGTTTTTCTGTTTGTTTGTGTTTTTCTCTTCTTCTTTTTTTTGGGGGGGGGGGGGAGGGGGAGGGGGGGGGGGGGGGGGGGGGGAGGGGGGGGGTTAAGGGCAGAAGAGTTTCTGGGGTGGTCTCCGTTTTTTGTTTTTTTTTGGGAGGGGGGGGGTTAGGGCTCAAGAGTTTCTGAGATATTCTCCGTGTTTTTTGGGGCTGGGGCTCAAGAGTTTCTGGGGTGGTCTCCGTTTTTGTTTTTTTGGGCGGGGGGGTTAGGGCTCAAGAGTTTCTGCAGTGGTGTCCGTTCTTTTTTTTTTGGGGGGGGGGGGCTCAAGAATTTCTGGGGCGGTTTCCCTGTAACCCCCACTAAAGGTTGCCCTCAAGAACACAAGCAAATGGTGACCCCAGTTATCACACCCAGTGGAGCACTTTACCTGTATAGGTAACCAAGGGCAAGCGCCACCCGATATAATCGTCAAAAGGACAGTAGCGAACGGGTACTACATGGGCTTGCAACTGGGATCCACTGAAAGGGCTAAAAAATACTGGGCTCATTGCGTTGGCTGTTTCTTGAAGGTTTTCCAAGCCTGAAACTGGGGTGTTTTCTCTTTTATTCCACTTAGGTGACTTTGATTGCAAAATCATGGGGCCAGGTATTTCGAGCATACAAAGTACCCCACAACCGCGGTCCAATGCTTTCGGCCGGATAGCGTGTCCGGAGGAAGACAATCGGATGAGGACTTCCATTTGCTTAAGAGTACTGTTATTTTCCCTGTTGGTGTTAAAGGGAGTCTATCACTAACCTGGAGTCTCCATGACCCCAAAAAAATGGGTCCATGAACCCATTATTTTGGGTAATGACCTCATTTTTACAGGGTCATGGAGACTCCAGGTATGTTTTATGTTTTCGAGTGGGCTTAAGCAAATGGAAGGGACAGGACCACTCCGAAGCTCAAAACCACCCATGAGCTTCACAAGCCATCAGAGTCAGAAGCGGGGGCTGTGAAAATTTGAGGCTACCACATGGATGGGGGGTGACTTCCTGGAGTCTCCGTGACCCTTTAAAAATGGGTCCATGAACCCAAAATAATGGGGAATGACCCCATGGTTAAAGGGTCATGGAGACTCCAGGTTGTTTTTGGTGGTTGAAATTGTCACGGGGGAGGCAAAAGCAAGGGTAAGCCGAAAGCTACGGATCTTCTCCCAGGTCATTGCACGAAGCCTCACTGGTGTCCCTTTGGTCATTTTGAGAAACGTCCATATTAACCTGCGTCCCCTCAAATGAGCTGTTTTCTAGTGGGGTCCATTTGGTCATTTAGGGAAACACTTTTTGTTTCTAACCGCCCTGCCAAGTGTGGTGGCCAGTCCGGGCTCAGGCAGCTGCTTGTGTTGGAGCTAGCTACATGGCTTTTGTGTCTTGCTTCTTAACAGCGTCTAGGTCCCCCATTAGTGCCCTTTTACCTTTTTTTTGGGGAGGGTGCCCCTACTAAAATAGACTACAATGTTACATAAAATGGTACTCGTATTCTATCCTGTCTACTGGAGGACCTAGGCTAACTTGGCGACTTGCTTGCGGGGTTGCAGTGCAAACAGAGACATCTTTTATAATCTCGCCTGTTGGCGACAACAACTAGTAAGCGACTGGTTTGCTTCAGCGCCCGGGGATGTTTTATTAGTTCAGTTGGCACTTCGTTACAAGCAGCTTGTTGTTTCTTGGCAGTTCCCAGTCGTTTTGTTGGGAGTTTAGTTTGTGGGTTCCATCTAGCCCGCTGATCCAAAGCGTTGCCCGCCTTCTCAGTCACAGCGCAGGTCAAGTTCGGCCTCGGCTTGTTAGCCTCCAGCAGGTGCCATTTTCGGCCCCATTGGGATGGATGACAACCATAGGAACTAGGGGCCAACTTTAGGCAGCTAAAGATCTCACGTCGAAATGGTGTTCGATGTTTGCAAAATTATGTTCCCCTGGTCAAGCCAACTTCAAGCCAATGTTTTTTTCCTCGACATACGCTGTCCGCCTGACGTTTCGGGGGTTCTTTGGCCGATTTATTTCCCTGTAAAGGGGTTGCAGTAGGTTCCATGTTGACGCTTGCAACCAGTGGATTGCGCCCCGTTTTTGAACAACTAGGTTTTTTCAGTAGTGCCCTTTCGCCCTTTTTTGGGGGAGGGTTCCCCTGCTAAAATAGACTACAGAAAAAAGGTACCTTTATTCTAACCTCTCTACTGGAGGACCTAGAACCTTTTTTGGGAAGGGTTCCCCGTGTTTCACTTCAACCAACCAAAAACTGGATGGCGATTCTTTTTGCCCCACGGAACTCCACTCATTCTCCACTTGACCAACCAAAAAGGATGCCGATTTTTTCCCCACGGAATTTTCCACAGGGCAGAGATGTGGACTCTTTAAGCCACCCACATTGTTTTTTCCGCCCGAGGCAGCTTCACGGATTCCCCGCGCCGCGCTTGGCGCGACCTCTCCCCCATGAAGGCCTCGGAAGTCGAACGTCGAGCGTCGAAGGCTTGAACCCCCGGCGCCCAAGTGGGGTTGGGTACATCACTTCCCCTGTTTCTGGACTTTACGGTTTTTTCTTTAGCTTCGAATGCCATGTTAGACATAATTAAAGTACAAAAGGGGGCAGGGCACTTAATGGGGACCCGGGATGAATAAACCCGTCCCATTACTTTTGGGGGTGTTGGTTCCCTCCAAAAGTGGTCTGAATCCCCACTAAAAGGGGACACCCCCGGATTAATCAACCAGGGGTGTATTCATCCGGGGTTAGCATTACTCAAAATACCCCCTTTTTCTAGTTGGCTTTTTTGTTTTCAGAAAAAACACCGGGTTCGGGTTTCCATGGTAGATACCGATCCCTTCCCTTTTTTAGAGGGTCGACAAATCATTCCGACCAAACCAAGGCATCGGGTCTGGGGCGGTTCCGGTTACGGGTAGCCCTCCGCGGGTTTTAATGACCATGAGTTTTAAAATTTGGAACCGCCTTAAAAGTGATTGGTGGACATGAATCGGGACCCACCGAAGTCTGATGTCCACCATTTCGGGCCCCTTATTAAAACTCATAGCCATCATTGGGTCCCCCAGCGAAAGGGTGCCCGACATCTCTCCCTCCCCTTTTGTGGTTGGGAGATTCGGTTCCCCTATAGACTGCAGAGAAAGAAAACAAAAAACGGTACGCTGATTCTAAGCTCCAAAACTGGAGGACCTAGTATTTTTCATATGACGCCCGGAACCCTTGGAATCAGAGTTGGCAAGTCGATGTCATACCTGCTTGGTTTTGTCATCCTCTTTGCTTTCGGACATGGCAAGGCCTCGACCCTCAAACTACCCATAAGAAAAAGGGATTGCAATGATTGCGCCCCATGAATTTGGGGCTACAACCCATGTTTAAGTTGGAAATTTGAGGGTCCAGGTAGTGCCACTAAGATTGACTCTATAGATTCGCAGGGAGTTAGTTAGGTGGCAAGTTCACCCTACATAGTATCCCATAATCCGACTGTTGTGCCCAAAAGTGAGGTAAGGCTAGCCAAAAGTTGCTTGAGGTTCCGTGCACAGTTAGATATTAGTTGTTAGCCAAATTTAGCCCGACAAGGTGAAGGTTTGCCGGCAAGGCTTGCAGAACAGTTACTTCATGTTACAACAGCCACCCACCAGCCACCCACTACCCACCCACGCCCCACCCACCACCCCACCCACCATCCCACCCACCACCCACCCACATAAATGCGGTTAGTAGCCACTTGGCCGACTCCTGAACCAACTAATGTACAGCCAACTCAAGGAAGGGCGCACCCTCAGCCTCAGAATGGTTGTTTTTTTCCGTTGGTTTCCCTTAAGCAACCCCAAACATCCTACCCTCAAAGAAAACACACACCCACATGCCAATGGTTCCATCTTGGCTTTGCACAACCGACCCAGAAAATGTCCAAAAGCTGGCTGCAGGGGGGAGGTGCGGAGCGATTGTATTTCCTTTAGTTCCGCCGGACAGATCGACTTGCATATGCCAGCACCCCGCAACTTGCCGGCTTGGTGCGGGAACCAAAAATCAGCTGTTGGGACCCGGGTGCTGGTAGGGCTGTTTGCTTTTTGGGCTTCCTTTACGCCTGCGGGAAACTGAAGGAATGGCCCATTGAAAGGGTCTGAATCCTAAAAGGCAGACCCATTGAGGGGGAGTCTCAAAATAGGATTTGGACCCCTTGGAGGGGGAAAGGCAAACCAAAACGGAAACCACCGACCTGATCGAAATTTTGAGAACCGAAGTAACTCTCTTATTTTTTGAGCAATTAGAAAACAGCGGTGAAACTGGGGGGAGGTGATGCCCTGGCGATTGGGTGAGTCATGTCCACCAAGCACTTTGGGGAGGGTTCCCAATGACATTTAGTATGTTTCGTCTGGCATGAGAGGGATGATTTTGGGGGTTCTTGATACGGCGCGGGACTCAGAACTTGAGTCCTGGCCGGGCTTGTCTCCATTTTAAATGGGGTCCCCCCCCTCTCGGAAAAATAGAACACACACACACACACACTAACCCCCCCCCCCTGCAAGTGGTGTGGCTTGGTTTGGATCAATTTGGATTTGGATTTGAACCTATGGTTCTTGAGGGCAAATGGGAAACCACCCGGGAGGAGAGCAAACCACCGATTTGGCTCCAGTTCCCAAACGGGATGATGGATTTGGATAGGATCCTGCATTTGCAACAGCCGAGCTGCTTCTGATTGTGGCGAATCATGCCTGCAGAATCAAACTGCCCCGTAGTCCAAACACTCTTGTTTTTTTCTAGTTGTTCGGGAAACAAGAGATCGGTTTTCCAGTGTAAATAATACCGATCTCTTGTTTAGTAGAGGGTCGACAAATCATACCATCTAAAACCCCGCTGATCTTGGGCGTTGGGGGTAGTCCATGGTTGTTGTTAGGAAACATTTTACCTTGTTGTGGTTTGGTTAAAATCCAACCACTTAACTGCTATTTTTGTTTTGCTCCCCTTCCGTCAACCAAGCAGTGGGGGGAGGGACATATTTTATCGACAATTCCATGAAGCGTTGGAAGCTAGCGGCATTCAAGCAGCAGCTCCGGGGTACGGGACCAACTCCAAAAAGGCGACTCTCCAAATGGGTGTGGCTCAAAATATAAGAGCTAGGGTTACGCAGGTTTTAGTCTTTGGTTCCATCTACCAAGGTGCCATGTTTAGTACATGTTTTTGAGCCACAGCCAAATTTTGCGCCCCTTCCAACGTCAAGAGTCATGATGTCGGCAGGTGCCGCTGCCCGATTCTTATGTGAAGGACATGGGACCCGGGACTGCGTGTCGCTTGTGAGAGGCGGCTTGAGGTTCAGTCCCCCAACTAGGTGCCCTTTCTCACCCGTTTTTTGGGGGAGGGTTCCCCTACTAAAATAGACTACAGAAAACGAGTTGGTACCAACTTATTCTAACCTCCAAAACTGGAGCATGGGATCTTGTGGAGCCATGCAACTTCAGATCCGGATGCCGGGTTTGCCACCGAGCGGGACACACAATGTTCCTTTGTTGCATTTTGCCAAGGGATGTTAGGACTTGAGAACTTTTTGCCAACTAATGGATTTTCCGTAATAAACCACTAATAGTTAGTCACTTTTGGCATGGGAGCAGATTTCGCAACCGAGGTTCGTTGGGAGGGTACCTTCAAAATCAACCCACTGGATTCCAGGAATCCGAGTCCGAAATCATGTACCTGCCTTTTGACTCGGGTTTGTTTAGTGTTTGACATACTTCCTGGAAACCCATATGTGACGTTTTTTTTCTGTCCATACGGCTTGGGCCACAAAAAATGACCATACGGTTATTTACGTCTTTTTGTCAACAATTTGTTGAAAAAATACGGGTTGCATACGGCCAAATATGGCCATTGGCCAGCAAAAGATGACCATACGGGAAAAATGATCCAAATACGGGTTCCGTCCAAAAAAAAACGGCCATACGGCTTTCCAGGTTGGTATATAGGCTTCCGAGCAACGCTCATATATAGGTAACCAGTCAATCTATGTTCAAGCTTTGGTTTTGAAATTGGCTGGCGCTTGGCAACGGATACCAAACCGAGCGGTAAGTGGATCCACTGGAGTTGTTTGAAAGGCTGCCTCTGAGACGCCCATTAAAGGAGCCATGAGCATTGAAACCAGTGGTTTCCTCGAGCAATGCCTGGTTTTTTTGGAGGGCACCCTCGTTGGGGTGGAGTCAAAAATGCCACGGAAACCAAAAGATTCGGACCGAAATCCCGGGATCGGAATCCGAAAGGACAACCCATCTTGGAACAAAGGCTAACGTAATGTTTCACCAACTTGACAAAGGCTTCCCTCTATTTAGGAGCTTGCCAATTCATCTCTAGAGCCAGGGGATCCCCTTAGCTTTTTAGGTTTTTAGTTCGTTTGTGGTTTGGGTTTCCCTTTCACCCACTATAACTTAGTCACTTCTAGCAGGGGGTCGAACGCCAGAGAGCCTAGTTGAACTACCTGAACCCTCCAAATTCCAACTCAAACTTGGGGTTATGGCAACCCAAAGTTGTGCTTGGTGAATTCATCCCTTTTTTCTCCAGAACTAGCTCCCCTTCTTCTTGTTTTTTGCTTTTTTGGGGTCCCTTTGTGTTCCACGGGCAAAAAAGATCTCTCTTTTTTTTGCGGGGGTCAACTAATTCCAGCCAAGACCAAACGTTAAATGGATTAGCCTGAGCCCCCAAACTACCCTTGAAAAACAGGGCTCCTTAAAAAATACGCTTTGCCCATTGAAACATGGCTTGTTCAAGCAAAATAAAGGGAAACCACCATTTACAAGGCGATGTTCAGGTGTATAATTGTAAGGATCCCTGAAAAAGGGAACTCACCCCATAAATTTGGGGCTATAACCCATTCTTAAGGGAATGTTGAGGGTCCAGGGAGTTGTTGTGCTTGCTTCTTTGCTTTTGTTTGGTTCTGTTCATTTTCAGGTTCGGGGCTGCAAAAGCCAGTCAGTTTTTGGCAACCATACCAAGGGTTGTGAAGATTCCAAGTGATTCTATTTACCTCTAGATATCCAATGGAGCCAGCCCTTAAAAGCCAAAAGGGACAACGGTTGGTCACCTAGGTTGCTTGTTCGTATTTACCTTGGGGAATCGAATCAGACATTTCAGGGTTTTGAGGGGTGGTGCCAAATGGAATTCGCAACCATCCACGTGTCATGTTTTAGTGTACACTAAACATGGCTTCAAATCCTTTTTTCAGAATTTGGACCGTGACCGGGTCTTGAAGATGCAGATCGGTCCTGTTGGTTTCCCTTTAGAGCCTACCAAAAAGGCGTACCATACAACCCGACGACCTGGACCCCCAAAAGACCCCTTGTGATTGCCTTTGACCCAGAAAAAGGCCAGAAAATGCGGGTCTTTTGGGTGTCCAGGTAGCCCGACAGAGTTGACGCCACATCCTGGCCTTTGTACAAAGGCCACTGGCCATGGCCGAAAGTTTTGTGTCGGCACGATGGAATTCTCCCTCTATTGGGGTAACCAAGCGTTGGGCAACAAAACAAAACACACACACAAAAACTAGAGGACAATTGGCCCGAAAGCATTTTTCCACAGGTGCTCATCCAGCCGCGGAGACACCTTTTTACATCGCTGCGGCGAGCGTGTCTGCGCGCGGCATGCTCAGTGTGTATGGTCACATGAGAGCTCCATCTCATCATCCTACTTTCCTCTCGAACTGCGCCGCGCGATTTCTCACGAAAGTGGTCTGCGCAAGCTGCATTGTTCCAGGCTGCTGCGCGCAAGTTGCTCTCTGCAAGCTGCTGCATGCAAGTGCTCTGTGCAAGTTGCTCTGCGCAAGCAAGTTGCTCTGCGCAAGCAAGTTGCTCTGCGCAAGTGCTCTGCGCCAGTTGCCGTGCAAGCGCTTTGCGCATGTGCTCTGTGCAAGTTGGTCTGTGCAAGTTGCTCTGCGCCAGTTGCTCCGTGCAAGCGCTTTGCGCATGTGCTCGGTGGCAAGTTGCTCTGCGCAAGTGCTCTGCGCCAGTTGCTCCGTGCAAGCGCTTTGCGCATGTGCTCTGTGCAAGTTGGTCTGTGCAAGTTGCTCTGCGCAAGTGCTTTGTGCAATTGCTCTGTGCAAGTTGCTCCGCGCAAGTTGCTCTGCGCAAGTGACTCTGCGCAAGTTGCTCTGCGCAAGGGCTGCCGGAGCTGTGGGAATGTACTTCGCGTACTATTTTTGTACTTAAAAGTTGCGATTTTTCAGCCGGAGCTGCGGGGGTGTGCTCCGCGTACTACGTTTGTACTTAAAAGTTGCGATTTTCCAGCCTGAGCTGCGGGAGCAAGCTCCGCATACTACGTCTGTACATAAAAGTTGCGATTTTCTAGCCGGAGCTGCAGGAGCACGCTCCGTGTACCACGTTTGTACTTAAAAGCTGCGATTTTCAAGCCGGAGCTGCCGCGGACCAGGGGGGAATCGAACCCGCAACCGCGGGATTGCGAAGGCAGGCGCGCAAACCACGAGACAACTTCCAAAGGCCGTTTCGCGAGCAAGAAAATAGCACGGCGCCACAGCGCGAGCGCTTCGACACGCACAATCTCCGCAGAGGCTAAGACAAATAAATTCGCACGACCACGCGAATCTCCGCAGAGGGTCGCGCGCAGACCGCAGAAATCGTAAAAGTCCACAGTTTTTTACCTCGACCACGCGAATCTCTGCAGAGGGTTGCGCGCGCACCGCAGAAACCTCAGTTTTTGAACCTCGACCACGCGAATCTCCGCAGAGGCGAGGGTCGCGCGCGCACCGCGGAAATCGTACAAAGTCCTCAGTTTTTGAACCTCGACCACGCGAATCTCCGCAGAGGGTCGCGCGCGCACCGCAGAAATCGTAAAAAGTCCCCAGTGTTTGAACCTCGACCACGCGAATCTCCGCAGAGGGTCGCAATCCCGAGCGATGATCAAACTCCCGCCCCGGCGCCTTAGAACTAAACTAACTTACATAGCTGCTTTCGCCGAAGCTCTACGCAAGCTCTACCTAACCTTGGCTCTGTGCCACCTGGCTCTGTGTCACTTGGCTCTGTGCCACTTGGCTCTATATGTAACTTGGCTCTATGTCACTTAGCTCTGTGTAACTTGGCTCTATGTAACTTGGCTCTATGTAACTTGGGTCTATGTAACATGGCTCTATGTAACTTGGCTCTATGTAACTTGGCTCTATGTAACTTGGCTCTATGATGTAACTTGGCTCTGTGCAACTTGGCTCTGTGCAACTTGGTGGCTCTATGTAACTTGGCTCTGTGCCACTTGCTCTATGTAACTTGGCACTATGCAACTTGGCTCTATGTAACTTGGCTCTATGATGTAAGTTGGCTCTTTGCAACTTGGCTCTATGTAACTTGGCTCTGTGCCACTTGCTCTATGCAACTTGGCTCTATGTATCTTGGCTCTATGTAACTTGGCTCTATGTAACTTGGCTCTATGTAACTTGGCTCTATGTAACTTGATTCTATGTAACCTGGCTCTATGTAACTTGGCTCTATGTAACTTGGCTCTGTGCAACTTGGCTCTGTGCAACTTGGCTCTGTGTACCTTGTCCAAGGGCTCCGCACGGAAGAACCCTTCGCGATGTTTCGGGAAAAAAAGAAAACGCGAAAAACAACAAAAACGTTGGACAACCCAAGGGTGCGAAAACACAAAAGACATTCAAGGGTGAGAAAACACATAAAACAAACCTTGGACAACCCAACCCCAATGGTATCCTGACTAGCTCCCCCAGTAGTGCCCTTTCTCATGGTTTTTTTGGGTTGGAAAAAGGTTCCCCTGACATAGACTTGAAAGAAACAAGCGGGCACCCTTATTCTATCCTCTCTACTGGAGAACCTAGTAAGGGTTGTCATTTTGAACTCAAGCAACAAGAAAAGGGTGTCCTTTTTTCCCCCATGGAATTCCCTAAGGTATCCTGAGATCACGCCCAGACTGGTGACAAGATGGCCATGACCCGATGGGATCTGATTTGGACTCCCCCCCCCCGGTCTTTCCGCGGCCGAAGCGGTGTCGGGTTTCGCCCAATTGGATGGTTTCCAAGGAGAAACCTCGTGACATTTTGTTTCGGTCGGGCTGGAAGCCAGCCCCCCCCAAAAGAAAAGAAGACGAAGAAAGCCAGGCCAAGCCAATGCGTAAGACATACCCAACTAGAGGAACAGTAATCAGAAAGATAGGTGGTTCCCCTTCTGCCAAAGCCTAAGAATTCTGAGGGGTATTCCCTGTTCAGGAGACACCATGTTTTTTTGGTTCTTGCAGGTACCCCTCCGATCGGGTAGTTTTGCCCAAGAGGAATCAACAACGATGCCTAGAGTGGCAAATCGACTTGGTTCCCAGTAGTATCACAGCACAATTCCCACATTCCGATGGTGATCCTCGGTGATGTTCTTCCCAGCAACTTCCCCACTCGATGCGACACTGCAGCTTTATGAATCATCAACATTGGCTCCCGAAAATGGCACTACCTGGACCCTCAAAATTCCAACTTAACAATATGGGTTATGGAGGTCTCACTTCCTTGGACTCACCTTTTCGAGGTTGACATGACCTTCGAGCTGGCAGATTTGGGAGGCCCTAGGTGGAAGCCTAGGCCAATTCCCGGGGTTTTCCTCACTGTGGGAGGGCTTTTGTTTTTGAGGGTCCAAAACTATAATTCTTCAACAGCCGAAAGCTTACGGCTCAGTTCCCTTGCGCCTGATCCAGAGTGGTTCGGAGCAGCTTTCAGGTAGATTCGGCCCTCCAGTCCGAGCTAGCTCCGTCATCACACCTGGCCAACCTGTGTCTACCCCTTACACCCCTTCACAGTTCTTGGCGAGTTAGTTAGTTTGTTTGGTTCTGCTTTTTTGGGATCGGTATTGCCCTCGAAAACCGAACACAATTGTCCACACCCAGAGGCTCCTGGGGCTTTCAATGGAAGACCCGACCCCTCCATTAGACACCCAAAAGGAGCTGTTTGGGGTTCTCAAAACCTGGCTGTTAAATCGGGCCCAAAAATCATCGAATTGGAGCCTCTGGGAATGGGATCGGTATTGCCCTCGAAAACCGAACACAACTTTCCAAAGAATACCAACTCAAAACGGCTCTCTTGTATTTGGAGGCTGCGGGGGTAAGACTCGATCCTTTTGCCAACCGGTAACTTAAATACGAGTCCCTTTTCGTCGCCACACCTAATCAGATGCCAAATCGGATGCCAATCAAAATGAGCGAAGTGTCTTTTTTGAGCTGGTAACCGTTGTTGGTTGGTTTTAAAGGGCATCCAAAAGGAGTATCACCATTTTGGGGTTCGAATTCTTAAATAACATACTTCCTGGAAACCCATATGTGACGTTTTTTTTCTGTCCATACGGCTTGGGCCACAAAAAAATGACCATACGGTTATTTACGGTTTTTTGGCAACAATTTGTTGAAAACATACGGGTTGCATACGGCCAAATACGGCCACCGGCCAGCAAAAAATGGCCATACGGGCAAAATGATCCAAATACGGGTTCCGTCCAAAAAAAACCGGCCATACGGCTTTCCAGGTTACAGTAAATGGACTGACGTTCTGGTGTTTTCCCTTTTCAGTGCCCATTTCTACGTACTCATCTTTGTCTACGTGCCATTTCTACACATAGCTGTGGCTCAAAACCAATGGTACCATTTTGGGGTAGGTGCACCACCCATTTTAGCCTATTTTAGTGGTTGGATTCGGATGTTCACTGAGGGCTAACCGATTTGGATTTTGACCCATAGCCATATATGAAATTTATTTGTTTAGAACAAGCAACAACTCTACAAATATGCTTTCTTTGTTGAAAGAAGAAGAAGAAAAAGATGAAGACAAATCGGCTCGAGATGCTCATCCAAAAGCTGCCGTAGGAGATGCTTTCCGGCGGGCTGCCCATGCGCGTGGAGCGCATGTCCCAGCGCTCCCGCGAGAGCTTTCGGAGCCAAGACAGCGTCGCTTCCGACGCCGCGCGGGTCAGCGGAGACGCCACCCGGGAGCCGGGGAGCCCGAGCGAACCCGGGCGCGGTTGGAGGCGAATCCATTGGCTTCACGGTTCTTGGATCAAGTTGTTTGGTTTTTGGTCTGTTGGTTTTATTTTTAAATACGACTTTGTTTTTTTTAGTTTGTTGGTTCTATTCATTTGGGGCTGCTACCATACCCAGATACCCAGGGTTGTTAGCCCAGCAAAGTGTCGAATCCAAGGGGCGTGAGTGTTGGACGAGCGAATCCATGGGCTAAATACGACTCTGGGATGAACCCAGTAAAGATGGGTTGCCATGACCCCAGTTTGGGTAATGACCAACCATTTTTAAAGGGTCAGAAGGAGACTGTTTTGTTTTTTGGTTCTTTGGTTCTCGTCCGACTCCACTTATTAGTTTTTGTTTCCCCGTTTTTCGTGTGTTTAGTGGTTGGGTGCCGGGTTGGGCGTCCGAATTGAACCCACGAGAAGTGAAGCTTTGAGCAGATCCGAAAACGGAGGGCCTCGAAACCCGAGGCAAAGGTAAGCTTTCATTCCCTTCCCCTGTTGGCGCCCTTTTTCCTTTTCTAGGTCCCTTGAGGGCCTCAAATAATGAGGTCTTGGGCTCCTAGGGAAATGCAAGCTCCAAACCAAACCACAACAAACAACCCAACCTCCACACCTCCAAACCAGCAGCCAATCACCAATTGGGCGAAGCTGAGACCAAAAACGGGCACCGCCCTCAATCAAACTTCCAACTTCAACATGGGAATTATATGGAACTATAGCAACCCAAACGTACGCTTGCTGATGTCCAACTTTTCAAAGTTGAGAACATGGCCCTTGGACCCTCATGAAAAAATCAACATGGGCCGTTTCTTCGGGCTCCTTGCCTCGGGGTCGACGCATCTCGGAGCCTCAGGGGTTGCTTGCCTGCCCTCGCGGCCTGGGCGGCCCAGGAGGCAGAAGCTCGCTGGTTTCCATTGTCGGTGGGAAAAATCTCTTACATTTTTTTGTGCTTGTTGTGGTTTAGTGGTTGAAATCCAAATCCACTTAACTGCTAAAAATATATATGGCAAGGGCTCCTGTTTTCCTTTTTGCACTCATCCAACCAAAAACGGGCGCCGATCCTTTCTTTCCCATGGAAGTTTACCGGGCTCCCTATGAGGTCTTCTTGGGCTGTTATATAGGGTCCGGGGGAGGGTGGGGGTGGGGGCAGCTGTTTGAGGTCTTCTTGGGCTTCGGTCTCTTGCTGAATTGCCCAAAGCGAATCGACCTGAGCTGACGGTACCCTTTGGTTGTCCCATGGGTTCCCATTTCGAGTGGTGCCAAAAGGCGATCGCCTTTTACAGGGCTCCATTTGAAAGAAATCTCCATTTTCTGCGACCATTTGAGTTACATGTTGCTGGCTTTTTCAACACCAAAATAAAAGGAAACCACCGGCTCCTTAAAATATGCATTTTGCCCATTTGAAACATGTTGCTTTTTCAACACCAAAATGAAGAAGGGGACACCACCATTTACAGTAGTTGCAATGTTTTCAGGTGTTTTTCATGCATCCGGATCCCTGTTCTAAGCGACTCGGTTGGGGTTGGGGTCACACTAAACCCAGGGTGGCTTGGGACTTGGCGAGCCGGCGATCAATTTCTGGGACTCGGTTTGGGGAGTTGGGTCGACGACTCGGTTGGGGTTGGGGACTCGGGGAAGTTGAGGTCCCACTAAACCCAGTTGCAACCAGTGGGTTGCGGTGCCTGTTTTCAACTTTTTGCGGGTTTTGGGTTCCGATCCTTTCAAGTCAAGCAACCAACAACAATCGGATGCCGATTCCTTTTTCCGATGGAAATCCATTGGGTATCTGAGCAAAAGGGGAAGTATTCCTGCACTAAGAGGGGACACCCTGTGCTCAGAATCAACCTGGAAGCCCATATGTGACGTTTATTTTTCTTCTTCTTCTTCTTCTTCTTTTTCTATCCATACGCCTTGGGCCACCCAAAAATGACCACGGTTGTCCACCAAAAAACGGCCATACGTCCATACCGGCTTTCCAGGAAGCCATTGATCTTCCCGTGAGAGATGCGCGCACCCGGAGAAATGGACCCCCCCCTCGCACCTAGGTGTCCTGTTTGGTTGGTTTGCTTACAAAATAGAGGGCGATCCCTGGTTTAGATGTTTTTTTTTCCATTGACCAGGGAAACCCATCTATTTTTCCGAAATGCCACCTATGCTCGCGCCTAGGTGTCCTTCGGGGAATCCTCAGGGTCATTCCCTGAGCCAGTTTTTACGAGATGCCCCGGAAATGTCCAGTCTGTTAGACATTCACCTGGAGTCTCCATGACCCGAAATAAAAATGGGTCCATGACCCCATTTATTTTGGGTAATGACCAACCATTTTTGAAGAGTCATAGAGACTCCAGGCAGTTCACTGTTGGATCAAGTGTTTAGCTGCTTTTTGGTTTTTGGGTCCCGTATTGGGCTTCCCCTGAGACTGAGATTCCTTGCCCAGCATCTAAGCATGAACATCAGGCCAAGCAGAAGCACATCTACCCCCTACTCCAAATACCTGTTTTTTTAGGGTATTTTGGGAAACCCTGCTTTTCAAGGTAAATACGGTCGACATGATACCCTAAAAAAAGGTGGGTATTGGGTGTAAGGGGTATCTATTGTCTGTCAGAGTCTCTTGTGCTGAGCGTGTTTGGCTCGCCCGAGATTCGTTGCGTTCTTGCGTTCTCAATATGGGTTTGTCTTTTTTGAGGGTACCCATGTTTGTTATTTTCCTGTTGTTTTATTTTTTTTTTGGGGGGGGGTTAAAGGGAACCCACAAGGAAGAACATCCATTTTGTTGCGTCTCCAAAAAACGGCACACCCATACGTTTGCTTGAAAAAGACAAGAGAGCGTGCATCGATTGCCTGTTCGTAGAGAGCTGAAAGATCATCATGGAACCCACCGGAAGGCCTTTGAGAGGAGCCTTGAATCCACTGCAACGCAAATGATACAACATGTGGCGATTGTTCTTGGCGAGGTCGAGCGTGCAATTCTTTATTTGGGTGTGTCATTGTTTCGAGGACCCCCCAAGAAACAAAAGGTGTTCTTTTCGGTTTTCCCTAAAGCCTACAAAGAAAGCAGCTGAAGAACTTCAGTCGCAATGTTTCAGTTCAGCCTGGGACGAACACGAGGATGGTAACTCGAGGAGTTTTATTTTGCGTCGGTCTTGCACATGTTCTTTTCAAGCCAGCTTGAATCATCTCAGATTCGAGTGTCATAATTTGAATACGCAAAACAATATACATTCCGCGCCATGAAGGTGGATGTTCACTTGCCCAGCGGATATGGTTGTTCCATCTCACTCTCATCGAAAAGGCCAATCAGCGAGCTGAAAGCTACAGCGCAGCAGCATTTCAAGCGCCGTTTGAAGCTCACTGCGAAAGGCCGCCAGCTCAATTTGACGGCCACGCTAAGTGAGGCTGGGTTGCAAGACGGGGATGTGCTGACTGCAGTTGTGCAGCTTGTCAAATTGGCAGCCACCAACGGGGCGTTTGCCTTGCATGGCCACGGGGGCGAAGTTTTGACCTGGGGTTATGCAGCGTCTGGCGGAGACAGCAGCCAGGTGCAAGAGCAGCTGAGGAACGTCCAGCACATCCAGTCAAATGCTGGTGAGCATGGTGAAGCTTTTGCTGCCATTCTTCATTCTGGGGCTGTTGTGACCTGGGGTGATCAAGAATATGGCGGAGACAGCAGCCAAGTGCAAGAGCAGCTGAGGAACGTCCAGCACATCCAAGCAGCTGTTTTTGCTTTTGCAGCCATTCTCGAATCTGGGGCTGTTGTGACCTGGGGTTCTGCAGCGTCTGGCGGAGACAGCAGCCAGGTGCAAGAGCAGCTGAGGAACGTCCAGCACATCCAGTCAAATGCTGGTGGGCTTGGTGGTGCTTTTGCTGCTATTCTTCAATCGGGGGCTGTCGTGACATGGGGTCCTGAAGACTTTGGCGGAGACAGCAGCCAGGTGCAAGAGCAGCTGAGGAACGTCCAGCACATCCAGTCAAATGCTGATCAGTATGGTGGTGCTTTTGCTGCTATTCTTCAATCTGGGGCTGTCGTGACATGGGGTCCTGAAGACTTTGGCGGAGACAGCAGCCAGGTGCAAGAGCAGCTGAGGAACGTCCGGCACATCCAAGCAACTAGCTGTGCCTTTGCTGCCATTCTTGAATCTGGGGCTGTTGTGACCTGGGGCTATCCATACAGTGGCGGAGACAGCAGTCAGGTGCAAGAGCAGCTGCGAAATGTCGAGCGCATACAAGCAACTCGCGATGCTTTTGCTGCCATTCTTGAATCTGGGGCTGTGGTGACCTGGGGTCGTGTAGATTACGGCGGAGACAGCAGCCAGGTGCAAGAGCAGCTGAGGAACGTTAAGCACATCCAAGCAGCTCTTTTTGCTTTTGCTGCCATTCTTGAATCTGGCTCTGTTGTGACCTGGGGTGATCCTAAACGCGGGGGAGACAGCAGCCAGGTGCAGGAGCAGCTGAAGAACGTGCGGCACATCCAAGCAACTCACAGTGCCTTTGCTGCCATTCTTGAATCTGGGGCTGTCGTGACCTGGGGTGATCCACAGTTTGGCGGAGACAGCAGCCAGGTGCAGGAGCAGCTGAGGAGTGTCCAGCACATCCAAGCCACTGCGGCTGCTTTTGCAGCTATTCTTCAATCTGGGGCTGTTGTGACCTGGGGCTTTCCAGACATGGGCGGAGACAGCAGCAAGGTGCAAGAGCAGCTGAGCTTGTAATTTGGTGCTGCTGCAACCCGCCACAAATCCGGGATGCTCATAGCATCCTGATGGAAGTGAACCAAAGTTGTCGGGGATGGATTTGGTAGCCAAAGTTGTCGGGGATGGATTTTACGCTTCTATCACGTGGCGACAGCGGCAAAAGCTGTGCGGGTGCTGCTAGCTTTTGTCCACCCCTCTCTCAAGTTGAGATGCAACTGATACCCCCTACTCCAAATACTCACCTTTTCTAGGGCATTTTTTGAAAGACCCTGGTTTCCATGGCAACGACCGATCCCTTTTTTCGGTAGAGGGTCGACAAATGATACCAACTATAGAAAAAGGCATCGGGTATTTGGAGCAGGTGAACGGGCAGTTCGATTCGGCCGTTCCGATGCCTTCGTGAGGCTTTGGGGTGAGACGACTAGTCCGATGCACTGCGGAGTGTGATGGGTACCGTTGGTCTGGGTGAAATACCCCGTAACCACCCAATACCCTGCCTTTTTTTAGTTGGTATCATGTCGATCTACTAAAACAGGAGGTATTATTTTTTTAGTTGGTATCATGTCGATCTACTAAAACAGGAGGTATTATTTTTTTTTGTTGGTATCATGTCGATCTACTAAAAAAGGGATCGGTATTTACCTTGGAAAACCGATCGGTTTTTCGAAAAATAGCCTAAACACGTGGGTATTTGGAGTAGGGGGTATAACGACCGCGCACGACCGAATTCGCCCCAAATGGTGGTTTATGTTGGGAATCCCCAAACCACCACAAATTTCAGGCCGGTGGATATTATAATTCACCCAGGTTTGTGGGTTGTTCTAAAGCCGAAACTAAATACCTCCCCCTATTTTTGGAGCTTTACAAGGTTTACCAGAAATTGTTTGCCGTTGGCGCACTAATTTGAAGGAGGAACTGACACTCTCCCAAGTGGTTGGACATGAATCCCACCAACTTGATGTCCGCCAGTTAAACCTCACACCCACAAACTAGCCTGTGGTCATGGTAGTAGACCTGGCAGCGTTAGCCCATCTGAGAAATATTTTTGCCGAAGGAACTCGTAGAATTTTAGGAGTCTCCTTCTGACCCTTCCAAGTTGGGGTCAAAATAAGGATCCCTGTGTCCACCTGCAACCCCATATGGCCGAAGACGAGAGTTTGAACGGCCCCAAGCTTGAAGTAGCTGGTTTTGGGATCGCGGAACTGAGCAGGTTCCGCGCCGGACTGACAAGCGATTTCTGGCTTCCAACCGAGGCGCCACCCAATTTGGGGAAACATAAGAAATGGGTGTGGCTCAAAATATCACAGGGGGACCGCAGCTGTCAGTCTGCTTTTCCATTTGTCAGGGTCCCATTTTCGGAAATCCGATTCCTATTCGTTGGTTGCCACACCCAGATTTCGTCGGCCCATGTTTACTTTTGTCAAAGCAGCGAGCACTAAGCACATCCGACTCACGAGACTATCCCCACCCCAAGATGGAGTTGGGGTCACGCCCTTGGAGTTTCGCTTATGGCAACCCATTGTCCCGTCCCTTTTATGTGAACCCTACATAAATGGAATTGGCCACCCCTCGCTGGCAAGTGGGTTCTTCTCATCATCTGCAAGCTTGGGAACAGGCTCTGGGCTGATTCGGCGCGGCCCGGGGCGTTTTCGGCAGGGTTAGCAACGGATTGCTCTCGGGGATGTCACCTGAGCTTCTTGTTTTGAGGATGATGCTTGTTTGCCGTTGACGGACATGAATATAACTAGGTCCCCGAGTAGTGCCCGTTTACCTTTTCTTGGGGGAGGGCCCCTACTAAAATAGACTACAGAAAAAGGGTACCCTTATTCTAACCTCTCTACTGGAGGACCTAGATGAGCATGTGAATTTGGTGTGGCTTAGAAGACGCGTCAATTTGGTTGTTGATGGAATGGAGGAATCAGCTTAACGAATGCCAGCGCTGATTGCCACGACTCTGTATGTCGAGGAGGCCGAACGGAAGGAAGAACTTAAGTCAGTTAACCCCTATTTGGTGATTTGAACCCTTAAGTTGGTTCTTGTACCTGGAGTCTCCATGACACTTAAAAACTGGGGTCAGTACCTAAAATAATGGGGCCATGGACCTTTTTTTCAAGGGTCATGGAGACTCCAGGTGGAGGTTAAACGGGAACTCCAAACCAATCTAAACCACCAAACTCAGCTGGCCGCAGACTGTTTGGTTCGAGCAAACCTCTGAAAGGATTGCAGGAACGGACGAAACCCGTACAAGGCCCGCCTGGAAGGGCATATCAACATTATTGTTATGTATACCCCCCAAACCAGGGTTTCCATGATAAATGCTTTTTTTTTAGTAGAGGGTCGACATCATACCCCTAAAGAAAGAGCTCAGTTGTTCAGTGGCACCTAGCCGGTTGTTTGGAGGGCCTCCCATCAAAAGACTGACTTGCCCCAAGGCGAAGTGACCTTAACCCTTCCCCAGACTTCCCCTTCTGTTTCGTTGGTTTGGCTTTTTTGGAATTGGTCCCTTCCTGGAAAACTGACCATACGGGAAAAATGATCCAAATACGGGTTCCGTCCCAAAAAAAACGGCCATACGGCTTTCCAGGTTGGTTTTCGACGGGCGAAGAAGGACTTGTTTTTTTGCCGGGGTCCTCGCAGTCTTGGCCCTATCCAACGGTATCAGCTTTGGTTTCTGGGTCTTTAAAGGGCTGAGAAAATGATCAACCCAAATTGGGTGCCCAATTTTTTAACCAGGGCCAATGTACTGGGTTTTGCGAACCGAGCTCGTTTTTGTTCTTTTCTTTTTCTTTTTCTTTTTAAAGAATGATTTAGAAGGGGAAAGTAGGGGACTAACTAATGACTATAATCGTTTACTCCTCCAATCATGATGAAAATTAGTTTTAGAGTACCCCAACACCCCATTCCAATTAGTTGAGCTGTTTTAGTAGAGGGTCGATATCATACCCTAAAACACGAGCTAGGTCCTCCAGTAGTGCCCTTCTCTCCCCTTGTTTGGGGAAGAAGTTCCCCTACTAACATAGCTCGACCTCGGTCGCTTCCGCATCCCACGGCTCGCAGGCCCGCGCCGGACGCTTCACCTGCCTCAGCACCACCCCGGATGCGCGTGAGGTGCCGAGCCTTCCGCCCAGGCGGGAACCGGCGGGGTTTTGAAAGGCGCTTTTGGGCCTTTCAAAATTTTCCAACTTCGAAATGGGATTTCTGGCCACCCAAATTTAGGGGTGGTGAATTGCCCCCGGCCCCTTTATTTTAAGGGTATACCTGGAGTCTCCATGACCCAGAAAAAATGAGGTCATTCCCCAAAATCATGATGTCATGGACCCATTTTTAAGTCTCCTTAGGGAGGCTCCAGGTGGGTGGTGAATTGCCCGAATTGCACCTCTCTTTTTTTAAGGGCATAGTTTGCATTCGGTTGAGGTCAGTTGCTCTTGGCCTCATGGCTCGGTTTGTGGTGGTCCAGCAGCAACACGATTCCCCCTGGCGGCCTTCCCTGCTGGACGGGTCGACTCCAAAAAAAAAAGGTTGCCTTGTATGCAACTACCCCTGCTCCAAATCTTCAACTTTTTCTAGTTGGTATGTTTGCAAAAACCTGGGTTTCCGTGGTAAATGCCTCCTTTTTCAGTAGAGGGCCGACATCACACCCCCAAAAAGGGGGGGTATTGGGTATAAGGGGTAGTATGCAGTCGTGTTCTCTTTTTGTGGGATCAGTTTTGGGAAGACTAAGACTGCACTTTGGTTGACTCCCGCTTAGGAAGTGAGAAGGGGGTGTCTCGCAATGGGCTTCGGGCCCCTTTTGGTTGGTATTTCGAGCAAGCCACCAGGAAAAAGGCGTCCGGTTCGGAAGAACGGATCCCATTCCGAAAAAACCTCCCGAATTCTCCTTGGTGGTTTCGCGTGGGTGTCCGGAGCTCGTTTGGCTCAACGAGCCGCAGGGGGTCCTTAAAGCCCGCGTCGCGAGTGACGGGCGGCCGGGGGGTCGAAAGGCCGGAGCTCTGGGAGAGGAAGCGCCAAATGGACCTTCCGGACGGTCTGCCGTTGGCAGAACCGCCACTCCGAGCGCCGGGAGTCCGGAGGATTTTGGCTGGCTCGGACCCAGTTGACCTGGGTTTTTAGGGGTAAACGAGAAAACCGCCCGCTACAGAAAAAACCGAAAGGAAACCAGCTGGAGTCTCCATGACCCTTTAAGATGAGGTCAAGGTCAAGAACCCTTTATTTTGTGCAATGACCAACTATTTTTAAAGTGTCCTTAGGGAGACTCCGGGTAGCTGGTTCCTGCTAAATGGGTCACTGGGATCCAGCGGGTTGGATGTTCTGAGTAAGTGGCTAGCCACTTGGGTTTAGAACCCAATGACAGGGTCAACTCGACTGAACGGCGGACCTACAAGTGGGTAGCCCCAAGTTACCAACAACTTACGTCAGCCGAACACCCAAGTAAGATGGCCTTCATATGCACCCCATTGACCCAGGTAGAACCACAAGCTAAAATTGCAAATGTGTCCCTTTTTGGGGTTTGGGGTGCTGCTCAGATTGTTAATATAGGGGTCACAATAGTTTCTACTAGTTTGCCCCCTATGAGCGTGACTACAAAGTGGTTATCCTTCAATAACTATAACCCAATACATATTGACCTTCTAGTTTCGCGATTGTTATTTTCGTTATTGTTATGAATGTCATTATATTGTCAGTTTCTTATTATACTTATGTTTGGTTCTCTTCATCTTTCGTCTGCCAAAAAGCCCACGCCTCAGCTCCCGGCGATTCCCTTCGCGAGGCCGAGCCCCGCCTTCCCGGCGCCCGCGTGGCCTTGCCCCTTCGAAGCGCCGCCGGCACTGCCGGGGGCCCCGGTTCGGCTCTCGGCGCTTGGCGCGTTCGGCGGGGAGGCGGCTCGGCGTGTGGAAGCGGCGGGGAGTCTCTTGGTGTTATCAAGGTGCCTGGGGTAGACTTAGGATACTTTTTTAAACTTGTTGCCAGACTCGAAACGGAGCAAACAATAATATATGTTTTATGACTGGGCTTAACTAATCATGGTGCCTTTTTACCCTGTAGTAGGGGGAGGGTTCCCCTACTAAAATGGACTACTGAAAAAAGTGGGTACCCTTATTCTAACCTCTGGAGGACCTATGTCAACTTGGTGCGATAGGTGTCGGGAGTGATGACGAGTTTCCGGGTGTCGGGAGTGAACCGACAGGATCCCATAAGGGATTGTGAACCGTAGGGGAACCCTGCAAACCAAGCCAGGGCAACCTAGTCGCAACCAGATTCCGCCCCCTGTTTTTTTTCCCGACTTTTGATCTTTCGGAAGGGTTCCGCGTTATTCACTGAGCCAGGATGCATCCTCGTTGTCTCATGGAAATCCACTGGGCTGAGGTACTGTTGACCCTAAATTAAGAAACCGAGCCTATGGGCTGTCCCCCTGGTGGTCTGAAGCCAATCACTCGGGGACACCGACGGGACCCGAAGCCCACACTTTCTTCGGACAAGATTGGGTAGGAGAGTAGGCCTAGTCTGTTGCCCAACTTTGTTCTGGATAGAACCAGATTAGTGGAAGAGCCAAACACCTTGATTAGTGGAAGAACCCAACTGAACGATCGCTTTTTAACCCCCCCCCTTTTAGCCATCAGCAGGTACCAAGGGACCCTCTGGGAAAGAAACACGCGCGCAAACAAACAAACAAGCAAACAGACAAACAAACAAACAAACAACAAAACAACCACCCAAACAAACAAACAAACAAACAAACAAACAAACAAACAAACAAACAAACAAACAAACAAACAAACAAACAAACAAACAAATACACATCAAACAAACAACCACACAAACAAACAAACAACCAACCAAACAAACAAACTAACAACCAAACAAACAATCAAACAACCAACCAAACAAACAACCAAACAAACAAACAATTCAAACAACCAAACAAACAAACAACCAACCAAACAAACAACAAAACAAACAAACAAACACACAAACAAACAAACAAACAAACAAACAAACAAACAAACAAACAAACAAACAAACAAACAAACACACAAACAACCAAACAAACAAACAATCAAGCAAACAAACAAACAACCAACCAAACAACCAACCAAACAACCAAACAAACAAACAAACAAACAAACAAACAAACAAACAAACAAACAAACACACATCAAACAAACCACCACCCAAACACACAAACAAACAACCAAACAAACAACCAAACAAACAATCAATTCAAGCAAACAAACAACCAACCAAACAAACAACAAAACAACCAAACAAACAAACAACCAAACAAACAATCAACCAAACAAACAAACAACCAACCAAACAACCAACCAAACAAACAAACAAACAAACACACATCAAACAAACAACCACCCAAACACACAAACAAACAACCAAACAAACAACCAAACAAACAATCAATTCAAGCAAACAAACAACCAAACAAACAACGAAACAACCAAACAAACAAACAAACAACCAAACAAACAATCAACCAAACAAACAACCAAACAAACAATCAACCAAACAAACAACCAAACAAACAAACAAATACTTTGGGTCCTGGCCCCATCTTTAAAGGGTCAGAAGGGAGACTCCAAGTGTTCCGGCCAGCGGCCAGCCGAGCGGAGAAGGATAGGTCACATCGTCCAACATATTTTGAACGAAGACCGGTTCCCAGGCTGTGAGGTTTCCACAACTTCCAAGTACCAACTCTTTTTCTCACTTCCTGAGTTCATGAACTTTAAACTTTTTGGGACGACCATTTTAGAGGCAAATCTAAAGTTTGGACTTTTTTTGGGCCGTCCACTCAGAAAGTGAGTTTTTAAGGGCCCAACCAAACCCAACCACACCCAACGAAACCGTTGTCAATATTCCCCTGCTCCAAATACCCGGCCTTTTTCTAGTTGGCATGAAACTCTTTTTGAAGGGCATGTTGTGACACCAACCATATTAATCAACCAGGGGTTTATTAATCCGGGGTTAGCTACCAGGACCATGTCATGTGATAGCTAGGTCCCTCAGTAGTGCCCTAACCCTGACCCTTTTTTTGCTTGGGAGGGTTCCCTTGAATAAACAGAAAAAATGGTACCCTTACCCCCTACTCCAAATACCCGGCTTTTTTCTAGGGGATTTTTGGAACCCCGGCGGCCTTCCCTGCTGGACGGGTCGACTCCAAAAAGGGTTGCCTTGTATGCAACTACCCCTGCTCCAAATACCAACTTGTTCTAGTTGGTATGTTGTGAAAAACCAATCGGCTTTTCAGGGTACATACCGATCCCTTTTTTGGTAGAGGGTCGACATCGTACCCTGCTAAAACTTTTGGACACAAGTTGCTTCCATTAAACCTGCAGGTAGGTATGCACCTCGCCGGTTCTGCTTGGGCGCAATCAAGTCTGCAGTTGCTTTTCAGAACGTGTCTTATGTCTTCTTTTTTGAATGAGAATCTATCACTATACTGGACACATGTTTGTTCATCCCCGATGACAAAACCAATCCACATTTACCCCCCCCTGTTTTGTTACAGAAGAGGCCTGGCGATGTGATTTTTAGCTGCCTGTCTTGCTACAACACTGCAACAATCAGGGTTTTCTGCATGTGCACGCACTGGCGCCTAGGCGGCATGCACATGTTCCTATCGCATCTGACACTGAGCATCTCAGAAACCCAAAGACACCTCGAGAAAATCCAAAAACAAAAGAACCTGGAGTCTCCATGACCCTTTGGAAATGGTTGGTCATGACCAACCATTCTTTTGAGTCATGACCCGCTATTTTTCCAGGATCCTTAGGGAGTCTCCAGGTAGGGTTACGCGACGTTTAGTCCTTGGTGCCATGTTGGCACCTGGAGTCTCCTTCTGAGCCTGTCATAGACCCGTTTTTGAAGGGTCCTTAAAAAAGACTCCAGGGCTAGGGAATAATTTACCCGTGTATCTAGGGGTACCTTCCATTTCCATTCTAAACCCAGGGATCCGACTCTTTCTAGAAAACCTCCGGAAACCGAGGGAAAACGGATCCAGGTTTTGGAAAGAACGATGGTTGGAAAGAATGAACAAGGAATCACCCCCTATAATTTTTAAAGGGTCAGAAGGGAGACTCCAGCAGGGCCGTAAAAAGATACATTTTGCAACCAGTTGAAACATGTTGCTTTTTCAACTCCAAAATAAAGAAAGCGAAACCCCATTTACAAGTTGCAATGTTCAGGTGTATAATGTAAGGATACTTGTTTATGTCCAAAGATTTGAGCCCTTGCCAATAGTTCCGGGATAATGCCGTTCAAAACGCGATGCCCTGATTTAAAGGTTGTCTCAGGCTCATGTATAAAAGGATCCCTGTCCAGGAACCCTCCAAAAACGACTCGAGCTCCGAGGCCGGTGCCGCCGCCCCCGTCGGCGCCTGCCGAGGAGTCCCGGCGCCGAGGCGCCCAAATCGTCCGACGAACAGACGTCGGTCGTTGCCCGCCCTCGAAATGGCAGGTGTGCTTTTGTTTCTTTGGGGGGGGGTTCCCAAAATTATGCGTGTGGTGTGTGTGTGTGTTTTTTGTATTTTCCTCTGTTTGTTGTTTTTTTTGGGGGTGCCTTTTATTTTTTTGGGTGGGGAATGGCGGTTTTCCTTTAGTTTTCCGGTTGTTTTATCCAAAGCAACACCTATGGATTCATGCAAAGGTGGTATTGAAAACCAAGGGCAAGCGACACCCAATGTTAAAACCGAAAGGGTTACCTAACTATACGGGCTTGCGCAGGCACCACTGGGTTGGACGCTCGGCCGGCCAAGTTAGTATCTCTGGCACCCGCCTGGGTTGCCCACTAATGACAGGGTTAACTCGACTGAACGGGATATCTGGAAGTGATTATAAGCCAAGTTGGATCTTTCTTTTTCAACCGGGAGTCTGCCTATAAGGATCCTTCAAAATTGTGAAGGGTCACTTTCCGAAAATAAGAAATGGCTGGTCCCCTTCTTGAAGGGTGATGGAGACTGCGCAACCCGCAAAACAGGGGGTAGCCTCCAAAAAACACACTGAAATGGGCGCGCTGGTAAGTTCGCGGGTACCGATTCTTTTCACCTTGGTTTAAAGGGACACCAAAAGGAAAACCGCCTCTTATGGCGTCCCCTGTGGTCTCCCGCACCCAGGACCTTAGTAAGTCTCTTTGAAAAAGCGTGGCCAGAAACCAGTTGCGGGCTCCAGATTTTGACTTTGAAGCATTTGCGGCGAAACGCAAGCACAGCTTGCGGCCAGTCTCCACCAATCAGTGCTCAAACCCAGTTGCCAGCAGCTTGCAAGTAATTTTCTGTCTTCTACATCCAATTGTTCCAACTAAAGTTGCGACAGGCGTCAAGAAGTCGGTTTCTGCCAATCTGATCTCTAACACGCTCCCAACCACCCCCATGTGATACTTCTTGGAAGCCAAGCAACTAGGATTATTGAAAACCAGAGCGACATGGGTCACACCTGAAGTGGGATGGTCATAAAACGCACATGTTGCCGAGCCAGGTCTTAAGTGCGTTCACAGGAAACGCGTGTTTTGTTCAAACGAAGGAGCCAAAGGGAGAGGGGAACTGCAATGATCTGCAATGGTCGCTTATATCCTAGGCCTTGAACCTTACGTAGCCTCGCGTAGCCAGCCACATGTAGCTTAAGGTTCAAAGGCAGCTTTGGAGAATTGGCTGCGTAGCCTTGGCGTAGACCGGTCCTTTTGATTTCACGGGTTATGTCTCGACTGCTATTGGGTTGGATCTTTAGACTTTCACTTTTTGGGAAATAAAGGTGTTTCCCACTAAACCCCCAAAAAGTTTTACTTTTTGCAGAGGGGTCAACAGCAACCAAGATGTTGCTTTTCCTGGCCTGGCCAGAATTGAGCTCGCTCGTTGTGCGTCGCCTCATCGGAGCTTGCGCGTAGCCTCCGCGTAGCCTCCGAGTCTTGCCGAAACGAATCGACCTCGACTGACCTTTTGGTTTCCTTGATTTGGGCTCCCATATCTAGCAAAAGCCCCCAAGAGGTGGTTGGATGTGTCGGCATCCATCCCGTTGATCCCAAGGGATATATAAGCTTCTGGCGTCTAGCTGGGTTTCTATACAGTAACCCTTCGATCTAGTTTTCTTTTGGTTTTTTAAAACCGGGCTAACGGTCACCTACAAAACCAGGCAAAATGGATCCACGAGTGCGATGGCCCGAAGTTGGCTCTGAAACTAAGGTTTTCTACACAGTAGGTCACCCTTGGATCTAATTTGCTTTCGGTTTTTCAACACCTGGCGCTTGCTAAGGGTCACCTAAAATCGATAGAGAGCCAATCTAGGTCCCCCAGTAGTGCCCTTTTACGTTTTTTTGTAGAAGGATCCCCCTACTAAAATAGGGTATCCGTATTCAAATCTCCAAAACTGCAGGACCTAGAGGCAAACCCATAGGGGGGGGTTCTCAAAATATGCTTTGAAACCCCCTTGGTCACCTCCAACACCGATGGATGGCAAGCCAATGGCCTCAGGCAAGACCGGGGCCTACGCCGCCAAGTTTGTCTTCAGCGGCTTCGACGCGCAACACCACGCGCCTCGGATTCGAGCGCGCGCGCGTGGAGCGTGGGGATCGAGATGCTCTCAACTCCCCGAGTTCCATTGGGAAGATGTTCGCGGTAAACGAGTCAGTTGTTGGGCGTGTTTTGGTGCAGCCTCTCAAGTGAGCGTCAGAAATATGAGCACAGAAGTGAAAGAGGGATCCGCCAAAAAAAAGGCGACGGCTACAAACAAATCATAATTGGTGGATGAGTGGTTGATGATCAGATCCCATCACCTTTTTCGGGAGATAGACCCTTTCTGGATGCTTAGTTTGCCCTCCCAGCAAACATCCAAGTGCGTAGTCCCCTTTTGGAGGATCTTTTTCCAAACAAAAAACTTTGTTTTTTTTGCAGTTCCATGTCGGGTACTCTATGTTAGCCAGGGTGTGTTCCCTGGCAACTACTTGAGGAAAGCCCCCCGACTTCCATTAGCCGGTTTGTGGTGGCCAAATCGCCCGCACGGAGAGACCTTTTGGACAAATAGAGGCTTTTCTATGAAACCTGCGATTCGGGGGCGTGGCTTGGAGCAACCCAGTAAGCATGGTTGGCGAGAAGCACGTTTAAACAACCAACTTTTGGTACCCTTTGAGAAGTTGAAAGGAGGTTGTTGAAAGAATGCACTCCCCGAGTCTGTTCTTGTGGGAAATGGCTGTGGGTCAACACCAATGGTACCATTTTGGGGTGGGTGCACCACCCATTTTAGAACCTATTTTAGTGGTTGGATTGGGTCCCGTTCACTGGGGGCTAACCGATTTGGATTTTGACCCATGGCCACATTTGTTGGATCCGTGATTGATGATCAGAGCCGCTCCCGAGGACCTTTCCTTTTGCGTAGGAGATAGACCCTTGCTTAGTTTACCAACCGTCCGAGTGCGTAAGCCCCCTTTTGGAGGAGTTTGTTGTTTTGAAGCAGTTAGCGGGTTTTGTGCAGTTCCATGGAACCAGGTACCTGACCCTTCTGGTGGGAAACGAGTGTTTGCCGTCTGTTTACAATGGGAATCCGTCACTGGAAATATGTTGATCGCGTCCAGGGGACTTCAGCAAATGGAAGTTTGGGTTCCCTTTGAACCTAGACCCAAAACTACCCTACAAAACGGTCAACTTCCAGTTGCTTAAGATTATTTTGTTTATTTGATTTTCCCCTGTTGGTTTTAAAGGGAATCTATGACGACTGAACATATGTTTATTTTCTTCAGGGGGCTTAAGCAAATGGAAGTCAACCCCAAATAGCAACCGTGCATATCATACAGGAATTGAGGTACCAAAAGATCAGTTGTCCAAAGCGAATCGATCTTAACCGACCTTTTAGTTTCCCCTTTTTGGCCTATTCTTAGTGGCCCTAAAAACAATCACCTTTTTCTGGGTCAAGGGGATGGAAAGCATGAGGCTGCGAAGGATTCGGACCCTCCCAAAATGGATTTTGTTTTTGCGTTTGGTTTCCCTTCAAGGCCACAAAAGAAGGGGTGCCCCCTCAACAGACGGAAATATGTTGGTTTTCCTTCAAAGCCACGAAAGAAGGGGCGCCCTCAAAAGAAGACACACCCATATGGTTTTTCAATTGACTTCACTTTTTCGATATGTGACTTGCAGGGAATTCCCGCCATTAAAAAATGGGCGTTTTACTTACAGAGAATTCCCCCCTCCATACAAAGAAGAAGACAGACCCATGTTTTGGCTTAGGCGGACTTTGAGCTCGTTCCCCGTCTGATTGGCCGAAAGGGTCCGGACCTCAGACGTCTATTTTGACGGAACTCGACACGGCGGAGCCCGAGTGCCCCCTGGTGGTTCCCAGCTAAGGTTGACCCCATGTTAAACAACCTGGAAAGCCGTATGGCCTTTTTTTTTGGACGGAACCCATATTTGAATCGTTGCTTTTTTCCCCCCGTATGGTCATTTTTTGCTGGCCGGTATGCAACCCGTATGTTTTTCAACAAATGGTTGACAAAACACCGCATATAACCGTATGGCCATTTTTTGCGGCCCAACCCGTATGGACGGTGTCCAACTGTGTTTAGATGGGACTCAGACCACCTTTGGAGTATCCAGAATCCAGTTCCTTAGGCCTTTAGTTTTCTTTGGCTTAGTGGTACCCCCGTAAGCTCCAAAGACCAACGCCATTTTTTCTGGGCATGATTTGTCGACCCTCTACTAAAAAAGGGATCGGTATTTGCCGTGGAAAACCAGGTGATTGAACAAATACACTGAAAAAACAGGGACTTGGAGTAATGGGTAGTTTCCACTAAGGCAACAAACGATAGACTTTTTAGCAGGGGATCTGCGAACAAGCAATCAGTTTTGGTTGAGGGAGCCTAAAAGAAAGCCTTGCCATCTTAGAACCACTATTTGTTGAGAAACGCCCAGATACTTGTTGGTCAATTTGTTTGTCACTCGATGCTGATGCTGGGTTCTTCAAACAGGGGCCCGGCCATTTGTTTTCTTCTTCCGATTGGTCCGATTGGCATGTTTCTTATAGCCCCTATACTCCAAGATACTTGTTTTTTTTTTGTTTTTAAGGGTATACTTTCAAAACCTGGTAATCCATGATAACTTATTCAAGCGAGTATTTGGAAGATGGGGGTAGGTCTTTGTTCCTTTGGGTGCTGAGCATGTTTTACGAGCTGCAAACCAGCGTTTGTTTGTTCCCCGACAACCATGCACAGCCCTGCGGTGTTTGGGGGAGAATTGAACTTGGGATCATAAAACGGGACAATAGGGCTTTCTTTGCCTACACAGCAAGGGTTGGGAACTCTCGACAGCTTCCATTTGGTCGGTTCTTTCTGGGCGAATGTTGGATCTGCTTTTTCGCATCCCCACCCCAACTAGGTCCCCCATTTTTGGGGGGAGGGTTCCCTTGCTAAAATAGACTACCGAAAAAAGGGTACCCGTATTCTAACCTCTCTGCTGGAGGACCTAGCCAAGGAGGGGGCGTGACCCCTAGAGATCTGCAGTTCTGGCACCCCATTTCCCCCTAACGCGGGGCTACCCCTTATCCCCTGAAGGCCTTATGAAGATCATGACCTTCTCCCGAAATCCCCCCCGAATGCCCCTTAACCCTTTATTAAGGGCTTCTCCTTGGCTTGGCTTCTCCTGACAACCCGCCGCCTGCCCCCCCCTCCGCCGATAGCCCCCCTTAAGAATCCATGGGTTGTGACTCACCCTTTCGATCCGCGGCCGGTCTCGGCTCCATCCCCTTCGGATTTCGATCCATTTCTTTGAGCAGCCCATTTCTCCCGATCCGAGGATGCAATTTGCGGCCAATCTCCCAGGGCTGCCGAGGCGATCCGATGGATCAATCCCAAGATCCGAAGTTTCTCACATCTGACGCGAACATGGGCTTTTCGTGGCCCCCCTCTTTGTGGGGTTCCACCAAAGGCGTTGACAAAAAACCTGGTATTGTATCATGTCAACCCCGAAGTTCCAAAGACGGCTTATTTTGCGTGCTGTTGTTTTTTGTGAATGGTGTTTCTTTTTTTTTTGGCCAGGAGCTTTGTCCAAGCTCAGCTGATATCATTGAACACTTCGGGCACCGCACGTGCTCAAGACTAAAGTGTCAAAGACTTGACCTTCATTCCAACAAAGCAAGCGGAGGGATTACCAAATTTAAAGGACAGGCTGAAACACATAGATTCACCGGTGTCAAAATTCACGGCAAAAACGTGCTTTCGCGCTAGAAAACAGGCCTCCACGCCAACTTCAGTATTTTCACGGTGATTTCACGCTGCTTTGGCGTAGGTCACAGACCGCCATGTTCACACCGAAATTGTCGTGTCAAGACATGTTGGGGTGGAACTGCCTTTGTAGAATCTAAAGGTGGCGACAGCATGAATAGTCCATCAATTACCACGTCGTGGATTTCCAGGGTCAACCTATATGGATTAAGGCTTTAAAAACAAACACTGGTATCGTATCATGTCAACCCTATAAGGAAAAGATTTGGATTCTGCCATGGCAAACCAGGATGTTCAACAAATACCTTTGAAAAGCGGGTATTTGCAGTAGGGTTACCCTTTTTGGGTTCCCATATTTCGGAATGGCCCCAAAAGATGATCAGCTGGTATTTCTGGGTCCCATCCGGGCAATGTGATGGGGCAATGAGCAAAAACCGAAGGACTGGCCTGGACGGATCGCACATGGTTATTTTCTTGCTGGTGCTCAGTCAGCAGGGAATGCGGGAATGAACCAAGGGGTCCCCTTAAAGGAAACCACAAGGGATGGTTAAAAGGGGTCATTCGATTCTAATTCGATTTCTAATTCCCTGCTGAGCACCAGCAAGTGAGACAAACCCATTCGGCTGTGAGTTGAAATCATTCCGCAGGCACGCTCGCTGTTCCTTTCTTAGTTTGGTTGGTAACGGGAAATGGGGATCTGTCTTTGTTTGGGACCCGTTTTCGTTTGGTTGGTTTTAAATGGACACCGAAAGGAAAACCACAATTTTGGGGGAGTCCCCTGAAAAAGACAGACCCAAATCAAAGGGACAGACCTACGATTTGGGTACAGACCCTGCTGAAAGCCCAAAGCTTCATTCGGGCACACCCCGAATTGATTTGGGCAGCCGGGCACGCCCCAAATCGTCCACTTCCATGACTAGGTCTCCTAGTAGTGCCCTTTTACCCTTTTTTTGGGGAGGGTTCCCTTACTAAAACTGACTACAGAAAAAAGTTGGTACCCTTATTTATTCTAACCTCTCTACTGGAGGACCTAGTTGAGAAGAGAACCGGAGCAAGCAAGCGCGGACAAGGATGTCACGCTGGTCCAAGGCCATGGTTTATTTGGGATTTGCAGCAACTTCAATCACCAAGAGTTATGACAGTTTGCCAGAAGGGGGGTTGGAAACACCTGGACCCTCAAGATTCCAACTTAAAAGTCGGAACACTTTTACAACCCCAAAATTCTCGAATCGCTGAATTCCCTTTTGTCAGTTGGTTGAGGGTGTGCGGCACATTGAAACACCCCGTAAAAAGGCCGTAAAAAAAGGGAAAAACAAAAAAACAACAACTCCGTGTTTAAACGGCCTCCGTAACTCAGGCCTTTGGACTCCCTGGGCATGGCGTTTTCCACGTCAAAATGCGGAGGGGGGGGGGAGAGCTCCGCCGGGCCTCCGCCAGGCAAGATCCGCGTGACGGGCTGGGACGGCTCGCAGCCCATGAAGTTCGGCAGTGGCCTGGCTCGAAAGACGAAAACGCTTTCCTCTTAAAGCCACCTCTCCTAGGTCCCTCAGCGAAAGGGTGCCCTTTCTCACCCCTTTCTACTAAAATAGACTACAGAAAAAAAGGTACCCTTATTCTAACCTCTCTACTGGACCTCGCCATGCATCTAGGTAACCCACTTATAAGTAGCCAGTGGGGATAACAACTTGTTATAAGGGGGCGGTGAGAAAGCCCAAGTGGCTGTGGGTCAAAACCAATAGTACCATTTTGGGGAAGGTGCACCACCCATTTTAGCCTATTTTACTGGGGATTGGGATGTTCACTGGGGCCACGGGATTTTGTACGATTTGGATTTTAACTTTGCCCATTTGAAACATCACCACACTTTGCAAGGCAATTTTCAGTTTGCTGCCATATTCTTGAATCTGGGGCTGTTGTGACCTGGGGGTGAGAACCCCAAATGTCTAGCCGCTTAGAAAAACTCGACCCACGGATTTCCCGCTTCGCCCATCCCTTTGTTTTCCACTCACCAGGCAACAATATTTTTGCTGGGGTCAACTAATTCCAGCCTAGTTTTATGGGTCTAGTTCTTTGGGGCTTTCGGGTACGCACCAAGAAAATACTCTCGCCTCCCCATTGATCACCGCACCAAGTGGGCTTGAGGTAGTGGTTGCCAGGCGAAATCAGATCCCACGGTGGCAAAACTAGTCCTTGCTCTTGGATCAGCCTGAACCCCCAAACAACCCTTAAAAAAAACAGGGCTCCTTAAAAGATACACTTTGCCCATTTGAAACATGTTGCTTTTTCAACACCAAATATACAGAAATGGAAACCACCATGAACAAGTTGCAATGTTCAGGTGTTTTCATGTAAGGATCCCTGAAAAAGGGAACTCACCCCATAAATGTGGGGCTACAACCCATTCTTAAGGGAATGTTGAGGGTCCAGGGAGTTGTTGTGCTTGCTTCTTTGCTTTTGTTTGGTTCTGTTCATTTTCAGGTTCGGGGCTGCAAAAGCCAGTCAGGTTTTGGCAACCATACCAAGGGTTGTGAAGACTCCAAGTGATTTTACAAAGTAAGACTCCAAGTGAACTCACCCTAAACCCAAGTGGGCCTAGTTTCGAGAAAATTCCAGGCAAGAGCTCCACCAACGACTCGCCGGTGGAGGTGACGCTCACCTGCCACGACCAGCCCAGCCTGGATGAAGGCGGGGCGCTGGCTGGGTCTTCAGCACCTGAGTCTTCCAGTTCCTGGAGTCTCCCTACGGACCCCCAAAAATGGTTGGTCACCCAAAATAAAGGGGACATGACCAACCATTTTTTAAAGGGTCATGGAGACTCCATTTATTTTGGGTCATGACCCCATTTTTTGGGGGTCATGGCGACTCCAGGTCGTGCTGGATATCTATATATATATATATATTTATTTATATTTCGGGATTCTAGGTCCTTGAACGGGACACCGACCCCCCACCACCCACCACCGCCCCCCCTCATCGTTCCTAGGTCCCCCAGCTAGGTGCCGTTTTTACCAACTTTTTTGGGGCCTACTAAAATAGACTACTGAAAACAAGTTGGTACCCTTATTCTAGCCTCTGTACTGGAGGACCTAGGATGCATGGCTTGCCTGTACCACCGGCTGAGTCTTCCAGTTGTCATTTTCGAGGCTGGTCCTATCAGGAAAAGAGGGCCCGATCAGCCATCAAAAGGCCCTTTTGCAAGTTGGCGGGATCTGACCTCTGGTTTTTCCTTTGGGTTCCCTTTTTTTGGTCATGACGAAAGGCGATCACTTTCAAAGCCGTGAGACAAGCCCTTGGGCTCCCCGAAACTGCGGAAGAATCTCGACCTGAGAGTCCGTTTTTGGTGCCAACGAAATGTTCTGAGAGCAAACCGTGGCGGGTAACTTTTCCGATTTTGTAAACCCTAGATGCGGGGTATACCTGGAGTCTCCATGACCCTTTGAACAAATTGTCCAGGACCAACCATTCTTTTGGGTAATGACCCCATTTTTAAAGGTGATGGAGACTCCAGGTAGATGTGGGGTATAGACTTTTCTGCTATATGAAAGAGCCCCACACCCTATATGTGGGGTGGACTTGTAGATTTTTCCCGGGTTCTTCTTGGAACTCAGCGGCGAATCGAATCGACCGATCGATATGACCTTCTGGTTTTTGGTTGGGTTCTTCTTAGTCATGACAATCCAAGAGCTGATCACCTGAAAGGGGACCCCCAAAATGGCGGTGTCCTTTTGTTTTGTGTCAATCACACAAAAGACTTCACTGTTATTGGCATGTTTGTTTGTTCGGTTTTTTAGTTTTTTGGTTCTGTTCATTTTTACTGGGGGTCTGCAAAAAAGAGAGTTTTTTTTTTTTTTTCTCGCTACCATACCAAGAGTAGAGATGAAGAGGCACCGTAGAAACAAGCATACCCCTTTCGGAAAGATGTGTCGAAGGGTGGGGTGCCCTCAAATGTACACATTGCATTGAAGGAGTTGGAGGGGGGCTTCGCCAAAAAAGACAGACACGACTCTTTGGGTTTTTGACAACTCCCTGGACTCGTTTTGAGGACTCCCCCCAAAAAAAGTCTGCCCGGAGTCTCCTTGACCCTCAAAGGATGGTTGGTCATTCACCGGAGATCCAGGGTTCCGTTTTTTGACTACCCCAAGGTAGACGTAAACCAAGGCGTTTCCATTTTTGGGGAAATCAACCACCCCTTGGTTTATTGTCACAAAACGGAACCCTGCCAAAATCAGCATTGGGGTCTCCTTTCCCCCTTTCTTCAAGGGTCCAATTCGGAAGACTCCGGTGACTTTGGGTTGTTGTTTTTTCCCCAGGGCCCACCCGAAACGGATTCGGCTTTTCCAGTAGTGTCCTTCACTCTTGCTGCCACGTTTTTAGCTGGTTGGTGATTCTAAGCACTGTTCAGTTTTAGTAGGCTGCAAGAGAAACAGTCACTTTGTTGCTTCCAAAGGGTTGGAAAGACTCCCTTAATAGCCGACCGATTTTAACGAGTAACCAACCTCGCCTACTTGGGTGATCGGCCAAGTTAGTAAGATGTTGGTAACCTAGGTTACAACCCACTTGTAAGTCCCGCGTTCAGCCGGGTTCACCTTGTTATAAGGGGGTGAACAACACCCCAAATAGCGATCACCACCTACTAACTTGGCAACGAAGTTCCTTTCGAATTAGGACAATTAGGGGAACTATCTAGAGCCTCCTAACCTTTGCTTTAGAGGCCATGGCCACTTTCTTGCTTTGGGGATTGGGTATCATGTGGACCCTCTACTAAAAAGCATGGAGGCCCAGGTTCTTCAAAAAATCATACCCTAGAAAAAGTGGGTATTTGGAGGTTACGGGGGTAACTTTGCTTTCACAGGGGCCATGTCCAATTTGTTCTCGCTTTGGGTCGACCAGCCATTTCTTGGTCCCCAGCCATCCGGTCCAACTTAGCTTTTTAGATCCTTTTAGTTGGTTTAAATTAGGTAGTTTCCGACAGATTTAACCCACCCGGAAAGCCGTATGGCCGTTTTTTTTGGGACGGAACCCGTATTTGGAACATTTTTCCCGTATGGTCATTTTTTGCTGGCCGGTGGCCGTATTTGGCCGTATGCAACCCGTATTTTGTTCAACAAATTGTTGACAAAAAAGCGTAAATACCCGTATGGTCATTTTTTAAGGCCCAAGCCGTATGGACAGAAAAACACGTCACATATGGGTTTCACTAAAAACACTTTTTATCCGAAAACGTCAATGTCAGACCAACCACTTGAAGCCACGAGTCCAAATTCCGACTCCGCAACGCCAGGGATCCGCCAGCTCCGGGTGCTCTTGGAAGACCTCAGCGACTCAGCACTAGCTCGGAGCTCCCTCGAAACGACATCGTTTCGGGCCCGAGTCAAGCGCTGGGAAAGAGGGGCACCGCCTTGGAGCCTCAACCAGCCATCTCAGCCTTTTTGTCGCTCAAGTCCCCTTTTCCTAGGTCCATTGACCTTCCAGGAGTACGTTTCTGTTCCCCCTGTTGCCTGGAGATTTTGAAGACCGATCCCTTTTTTCTGGCTAAAAGTGCCGCTTTTTCTGGGTCAAAGGCAATAAGCAGGAATCGGTCTTTTGGGGGTCCGGGTGGTTTTAGAGGGGATCTATCACTGGAACTATGGTTGTTTTCATGGCCCAGTGGATCCATTTGCCTGTATAGATAGCCAAGGGCAAGCGCCACCCGATACAAACACCAACAGGAAAATCGCGAAGGGTTACCTACTATATGGGCCTGCCGAAGGGAATCCACTAGCTTGGCTTTGGAGAAACTGAAAAGGTAGAGATCCCTCAGTTTTTTTTTTTTTTCCCCGTCCGGCCAAGTTAGTTGCCAACTACCCTCACCAACTCGACTTCCCGTTGCACGGCCCGAGTGGGGAACCGTTACAAAGTCCGAGCGTAAAGCCGGGAAGAACCGGTGACCACCGTTCTCGCGGTTTGGTGCAGGTGTTCTTTATGGTTGTTCCCCCAGGCCTCACCTGAGTAGGGTCCCCTGAGTAGGGTTTTCCGGCTAGGTGCCCCTTTTTAAGCCCCTTTCTTGGTTGGGAGAGGGTTCCCATAGACTGCCGAAAAAAAGCTGGCATTATTCTAACCTCTCTGGAGGACCTAGCCTGTTGACTTCCGTTTAGCCCTGCATCATTTGTGCAGCAAAGCACAGAGCTTCGTGGCTGTTGAGCTGCGGGGCAGGCTGGAAGTACGTATCAACCGATCGGTTGCTTTGTTTTCGCCACACATGTTGGTTCAACCCCTCAATAAAATCCCTGTGAATCTAGATCGGTTTTCTTGCAGGGCCATCTATTTTTCCACCGGGTCACATGCGTTTACGATGTCACAAAGGTTTTCTTGGTGGCTCCCAGCCATCCCCTTAGCTTTTTAGCCTTTTAATTGATTTAGTGGTAGTTCCGTATTTAACCCACTAATAGTTAGTCACTTTTAGCGGGGGATCAGAAAACGGGCAGCCCAGTGTTTCATGAAGATTCATCCTTTGGGTTCATTTCAGGTTGAAATGATAATATGTGACGTGGTCAAAAGGCCCGTGGCAGTTGGATGGTCCACGCCAGTGAATGTTTTCCCTTTGGGTGTCCCTGGTTCGGTCCATTTTTTTAAATCAAGGTTCCAAAAGATGATCACTTTTCTAGGTCCGGTCCCCCAGCGAAAGGGTGCCCTTTCTCACCGTTTCTTTTTTGGGGGAGGCGTCCCCTACACCAAACAAGTTGGTACCCTTATTCTAGCCTCTTGACTGGAGGACCTAGTTTTATTTCTAGATCCCTACGGGGCCTTATGGAAATGGGGGAGGGGGGAGCCCTGGAGATCTCCATTGACGGCATTAATTGCACTGAGGCAGCCACTTCTCTCGTGCCGCCCTCAGGTGTTCAATTCGAGCGGAATGACTGGAAGCTTCATCGCTGGAGTGAAGCTTTCATGTCCAGCTTTAGCGGCTCCTGTCCTTCGGTCCAACAAATTCCCCTGCAAGGTTTCGCGTCCACAGCTCATGTTCGATGTTCAGCGTTCTCTCGTTTGTTTGCACCAAATCCGCGGCCCCGAGAAATTCCCACACTTTGGACTGGACTTTAGTGAGTTTCACCTTGAAGTGGGTTGGATTCTCAGGGGGAGAGATGGGTCTAGAATTTATTCGACAAGAACACCTCAAAGCTGGGCGGCGCCTCCGCCGTCCGGTTCAAAAAGGTTTTTAAGGTTCTTCGGTTTAGCGGGGGTGTCCATTTGACACACTAAAAGTGAAGGCTTTTAGCAGGGGATCTGACAACGGGCAGTTGTTTTTTTTTCCTCAGTTTTTTGTTTTGTTTTTTAGTATTGCTGGGACCCACAGAACATTTAGCACTTTTTATCAGTGGATGCAGTGGATCTTAGGACAGCCCAGTAAAGGGTTACAGGAATCCCCACCGAAATGTCCACGTCCCCAATTTAAATTAAAGTCATATGTCCAGGCCGAGGATGTGTGCCACTCGCATCAACGCACACACACTATTGACCCCTATAGTATAACCCCCTGGTGCCTTGTTCAAATCACTATTTTTTTGTTTATGCTTCACTAAGGGGGCGCAAAGGGCCAGTATGTGCTCATACAAGAGTGCCAACTATAAAGGTATTATACCCTTCCATTTGCTTGAGAATCTATCACTGCTGGAAATGTGCTTAAATTGAAAAGCATATTCTTCGGGCTTAAGCAAATGGAGGTACATGTGTACTAACTTCCCCGGCCTCCTGGACTTAATACTTTTGGGGAAGACCGTTTTACTGGCAAACAGCAGGTTGGACTCTTTGTCCGCCAATTGCCTCAAGAAGCGTACAGTCTATCTACATATATGACTCGGCAAAAGGAAACACTAGGCATGGATGATGGAATAAGCGTCCCATCGACATGAGTTGCATGGAAGCCCCTATCCCAGTGGATCCATTTTCCTGTATAGGTACCAAACACAACCACCCTTTCATGCTGGTCAGTTGCTACAATATGGGCTTGTCTCCACCATCCCCCCTAACTACTGCCCAGGGGTCATTACCTAAAAGAAAGGGGTCATGACCAACCATTTTTTGAGGTTCAGAAGGGAGACTCCAGGTAAGTGTTTTTTGTTTTTGTTTTATAAGTTGTTTTTGTCTTTGTTTTGCTTGGGGTTGCCAGGCCTCCAGGGCGATGGCTGATTTCCCCCCCTCCCCCCAAGTGAGTTCCGTTGGTGCGAAATTGGTAGGGAATGAGACATGGAATGAACCATCTTGGGGTTCCCGAACAAAGAAACCCACCAGTTGGATGGTCTTTCTTGGGGTCATTTCTCATTCCCCACTGATCTGGAACCAGGTGACTCGGACTAAAAGTCGCTTTTGAGTGGGGATGGCTCCCTTTTGATCCTTTCTTGAAAGGAGGCCGATCCGCGTTTTTTTTTTTTTTTTCCCCCGCGTGGAAAAATCCGCCGGGCATCTGAGACTATAGGGTAAACCAGTTCGTGGTCTTTTCCTGGTCCAAGTGAATTCCCAAAGGCTCCCTAGGGTTGCCTATGGAGTCGCCCTAACGCTTTAAAGGGTTGGTCATGACACAAAATAAAGGTTGGTCACCCCATTTTTATTTCGGGTCGTGGAGACTCCAAGTATAGGAAACCCTAAACCGTAAGGAACCCGAAAGGGGCTCTCGACTACCCCCCGTAACGTACCTACCCCCGACCAGGATTGCACAATCCATTGGCCGAGGCTACTGCTACAAGCGTGGAATCACCCCTGTGCCGGATTTGACCGGGACTCAGTCACGGTCCGATCGCTGCCTCGCTGTGTTTTGGTGGCTCCAAGAAAACGAGAGGAACCCTTTGGGTGGTTCTAGACTCTAGACATATTTTCAGTGGATTCCAGGCGAGCGACGCGCATGCAGTAGAGAACCCTTTGCAATTGTCCTTCTTTTTCTGTATATCAGGTCCAAGCCCTTGGTTACCTGTGGGTAAATGGATCCACTTATGGCCTTGCTGGTTTCAAGGGTAGATACGCACCCATGCCACAGAACTTGGTCGCTTGAAACGGTCAGACGCTATCCCTTGAACCTTCAGTGAGTCGACAGCTACAACTTGATCTGAAGGTTTGTAAGGGGACACAGGCGCAGCCACCGTTCAATTTTTCCCAAAGACTTGACCCCTTCTTCATCAGATCCGGATTTGCCATGAGGGCACCTTTCGGGTCTCGAGGGTCCAGAACCCCCCAAATCCCACCCCGAATGGCTGTCACGGTTTGACCACAGGGACTTAGCCCCAAACAGCGGTTCAGTGGCTCACAACCCCCCCCCCCGAAAACCAAACAAAAAAAACGGATCCCCGGGCTGAAGTTTACCTTGTGGTGAAAAAGTGGAACCTTGAAATCCCCCACCTCAGTTGGATGGCGCTTCACCCTAATAGAGGATTTGGGCGTGCGAGGATTTGCACAGCGGCCGGGGAGTTCTAAGTTTGCTTCGAGGTTCCCCAGTAGTGCCCTTTTCGCCCCCTTTTTTTGGGGTTTAGGGTTCCCCTACTGAAATAGACGACCGAAAAACAAGTTGGTACCAACTTATTCTAAGCTCCAAAACTGGAGGACCTAGTGGTTGACTTGGCTCAATGGATCCTGAACCCTGAAGCCGCGAGTCTCCTTATGACCCTGAAGAAAATGGCAAGGGTCAGTGAGGACTTTGAAGAAAAATGGCAAGGGTCAGACTACCCAAAATAAAGGGCTCATGACCCCATTTTATGTCGGGTCAGCAGGAGACTCCAACTACCCTTAAAGAATTAAGCCCCGTCAATTTGGGTTGCTACGCCCCATTTTGAAGTTGGCTTTTTTTAGGGTCCAGGATGTCGGTATGTTGTTTGGCCAGCTTAAAAAGAAAGAAAGAACAATTTGTTGGTTAACTTTGACGTCATTATTTTGACTGTTTCGGGGGGGCTGTTGAAGTTAGAACTTGTCGCAACCTGCCACTTTGTCCGGTTTCTTTTAGCCTCCCCTTGTTCGTCATTTGTTGGGTTCCCCAAACAGTGAGCGCCTTTTATATCTGCGTCCCTAAAAAGCGACTGAGCCACAATGAGAACCCGGGTAGATGAAGGTTAGTAAGGGAGAATCCCACCAGAAATGCTGCCTTCGCGGCCTGTTCAATTCTCTACATGGCTTTGGGTAGACGAGTTCTTCACTTCGCTGCTCTTGGCAAGTTGGTCGTTTTTGGGGTTCTGTTCAATTTTTTTGTGGAGGACTACAAACAACACAGGTCGTATTGCTACCATACCAAGGGTTGTGAAGGTTTGAATACCGGGTTTGATTCTGACTCTACCTGTCTTCTTCTGGCTTTCTGAGCCTCAAAAAATGGGGTGGCCCCAACATATTTTGGGCAATGACCAACCATTTTTTCTGGGTCGGAAGGTGACAGGTGAGGTTCAGGTCCCATTTTGTGGGGGTCCGCGGGTGTCGAGAAAGCTGAGGTACCATCTGACTCTTTGAACCTCGCGGAACGGTTGCTGAATTAAGTGCCGATGCCAGCTGAGACCTGCAGCCCGAGCAATTCCCAGTGACAGTGGATCGGGAGGCAAGAAAAATGGAGCTTATGTTATCTCTGTTGCCCAGTGGTGCACTTTTATTATTTTAGTTTTGTTCGGCAAGGGTTCCCCTTTAGTAATAAACTCAGCCAGCCAAAAAAGGATGTCTGATTTTTTCCATAGCCACTCGGCATCTGAGACAAACATATCATGTTGGATCCCAGTTGCCACTATCGTTGAGCCAAGACAAAGCAATCAAGCCACGATTTGGGCTGGTGCTCGGCAAGGATTGACCGCAAAATTGCCGCAACCTGGCAATGCCAATTCATCGTCGTTTTGACTCTGCATACGCAGCCCAGTCATTCGCCGCACAGCGAAGGACACATAAGATGGGCGGACCTTGAGTTCGGAGAGAGCGGCTGAGGTGGTCAAAGCGGTTTCTCAGTTCACAACGTTCCTGCAGATGGACAAGAACTGCCTGTTGGGATGAATCAAATCCTAGGAACACTGGGTGCCAACTAGTGAAGGAACTTCTCCCTCCAGTATGTTTCAGAATTTTCCGGTTGCTTGTAGTAAAGGCTTGGATGTTGTCCTATAGGAAGTGCAGGCTATGTGACACAGATGTAATTGGCAATGGCTGACTTGAGTTGTTGCACACGATTGCATTTGGTTGCTCTAATAGCCAACAACTTACCCAGGAGCTGCCTCAGAATGGCGGCTGGGCATATCTGGGCACAAAATGTTCATGGCGGCCACTGTCAAAGCATGACTGCACTGTTCTCGGCAAGTGTTTTAGTTTTGTTTGTTTGTTTGGTTCTGCTCATTTTTAGTTGGGGGCTGCAAAACAACACAGTGTTTTGCTACCGTACCAAGGGTTGTGATTATGAGCATGAGCTATGTGAGGTGTCGTCAACATGTCCAGAGGCAACACAAAGAACAGTTGGACTCCTTGCACCATGACCATGGCCTACGTAAGAATTCGGTTTTGACCAGCGCAGCTGTCCTTTTTGCAGTCGAGCTAGGAAAGAGCACGACTCAGATACATCCGGCTCCTGCCCGAGAATTCATTCGACGGTTTGAACTGTGGGGCGCTTCGGCGTTGCCGCATTGCATCGCCCATTTGGACTCGTGTGGGTGGCGAGACTCGCGGGCTCGGCGAGACTTGCATCGATCGACGCAATGCAGTCTCAAAATGCACCCAGCGAAATGGATGGTTTCTTTGGGTTTCCCCTTTTTTCACCCGGCTCAAACAGAAGTGACATACCCCTGTGATCTGCCTGGAGTCTCCTTCTGACACTGAAAAAATGGTTGGTCATTGCCCAACATATTTTGGGGTCACCTTATTTTTGAAGGGTCAGAAAGTCAGAAGGAGACTCCAGGTAGAGTCAGAATCAAATTCGGTATTCAATTTTTTACAACCCTTGGTATGGTACCAACACAACCTGTGTTGTTTGCAGCCCCCCCACTAAACATGAACAGAACCCAAACAGCCAAAACACAACAAACTTGCCAAGAGTGAAGTCAAGAAATAGTCTGCCCCAAACCACGTAGTTGCTATCACCCATCTTGAAGTTGGCATTTTGAGGGTCGCCCCATGTTTAAAGGGTCAGAAGGAGACTCTTCAGGTGCAATCCAGCTCGGTACTCGGGTGCCGAGAGCTGACGCCCTTTACTGACCGGTAGACCGTACCTTCCATTTGCTGAAATGGTGTTGTTTTTTCGTCTTATTTTTCCTTTTTCTCTTTCAAAACAAAAAAATGATAAGAAACAAAACTCCAGTTGGCTTTAAAGGGGATCTATTACTCACTTCCTGAGTTCATGAACTTTAAACTTTTTGGGAAGACCATTTTAGTGGTAAATACAAAGTTTGAACTTTTTTTGGGCCATCCACTCAGCAAGTGAGATTATCTATTTCACTACTGGACATATGTTCGTATTTGTTTCCCGGGCGGCGTTAAATGGACATGGAGGCCACTGACCTTTGGTGCACTTGGAAAACCCTTTTCGCAGGGTTCCATCAGCTCTGACATTTGGCCCCATGATTTGGTTTTCCACCTGAACCAACTCAAACTACCAACTTAAGGAAATTCACCAACTACCAACTTAAGGGAATTCACCATAGATTTGGGTTGGTACAGCCAATTGTTTAGGGCGTTTTGAGGGTCCAGGCAGGTGCTCTGCAAGATGGTGGCTTTTTGACCCTTCGGATTCTCACCGAAATTATTGTGCCGGAATCCCATTGGGTTTTTCAAGAGGTGGTTCTCTTGGTTACCTATACTGGTAAAATGATCCTATGAACTGCAGGCCTTACTTTATTGTTTATGTTGTTTCAAGGAGGGTACCCCCTGTTGGTTGGTTTTAAATGAACACCACAAGGACTCCACCCATTTTGATTGGTCCAAAAAGGATCCTTTTGTGTAGACGATTGCTTTTCACTTCGCTGTTCTTGGCAAGCTGTTTTTGATTGTTTGTTGGTTCTGTTCAATAGAACCGCTCCGTGTTTCCAACACCTACCATAAAACAAGACGGTATTTGGAGTACGGGGCACACGATATTGGCTTTCAGTACCTGGAGTCTCCATGACCCTTTAAAAATGGGGTCATCACCTAAAAAAATAATGAGGTCCTGGACCCATGTTTATTTCGGGTCCGATTCGAGAGACTCCAGGTACTTTCTTCCCACTCGGTTTCCCCAAAGGCACCAGCTTCCCTTGGTTGTGGTTGGGAAACATGTCTCACATGTTTGATCTTATTGTGGTTTAGTGGTTGAAATCCAAATCCACTTAACTGCTAAAAATATATAGGGCAAGGGCTCCTGTTTTCCTTTTTGCACTCTTTCCATTTTTTTGCGCTTCTTGTGGTTTGGTGGTTGAAATCCAACCACTTGGCTGCTAGTTTTTTTTAAAAATGTTTGCTCCCCTTTCAACGTCAACCAAGTTCCGTTTCCGAAGTCTTTGGCCTTGCCCGAGAATCCGCAGAGTCCAGTGGTTTTTGTCCGAGTCGATGTGCCTCCTTTGGTCCAAGGCGGGTCGCAAGAGGGATTTGGGCTCTGCGACCCAGACCGCCTTCCGCTTCCTTGGGTTTTTATGTGGTTTGAACGATTTATATACTTCCAATGCTTCCATTTGTTCAAGAGTATGATTTCTTTATTTCCCTGTTGGGTTTGAAGGATATTCTTTTTTTAGTGGACTTACAGGTAAGCAAATGGAGGATTGGTTTAGTGGTAGTTTCCATGCGACTAAAAGTTGTTCACTTTTAGCTGGCCCCGTTTTAAAGCTTCCTGGAGACTCGTATTGGTCTGTGGCTATTAAATATTTCCATTGTGTTTGAGGTTTTCAATCCAGAGATTGGGGGGGAGGTTTTCCTTCAACTTATCACTTCGGGGTTGACTTTGATGGTGAAATAATGGGGTCAGAATCACTAGACGCATTCTGCAGCAATCACGACTATACAAAGCACCCGACAACCCCAGTCTAATGATTTCGGCCGGTTAGTGGAAGGATGTTGAACGAATTAGGGACAGAAGAGTGACTCGATAACGTTCCTTGTTTCTCCAGTGCTAGTTGGACTTGTTTTTGAGGGAGCTCCCTTTTGGTCCGTTTTAAGGGGACACCCAAAGGAAATTCGATCATTTTGTGGGGTCCCCTGGAAAAAGACACCCATTTGGGCATGAGAGTTTTTGAGGGTACCTGTTTTCTGTTTGGTCTTAGCGAGACCAAACAGAAAAACCTCGATCGATGGTCATACTTCCCCAAAAGCATTTGTGCCTGTTGACCCCGGATTGATCAACCTCTGGTTGAACTCCCTCGCTTTGGTGACACTCCCCTTTTGCAGAGGATTCTAGGGGTACCTTCCCCATTCTTTCCAGGCATCCTTCTTTCTAAAAATCCACCCAGCACTCTGGGGAAGCAGCTGGTTGTTGAAAAGAGCGATGGTTGAAAAGAATGGGGAATCAACCCCTAGAAGGATAGGCGTATTGGTCCAGGGTTCCCATTACCAAAGTGCTTCTCTGACTTTATTCGTGGCCATGAGAGGCTAGTCGAACGTAACCACCGGCCGGGCGCGCGCCGAGCTTTTTTGCCGCTTAGACGGCGACGGACTCTTTGCGCGGCCCTTGGGCCGGGCTACCGGTGTTTTTTGGTGAGAGCGCGTGGAAAGAGAAGACAGGGTGGTCCTTTTCAGCCGGCCTTGTTTTCTTCATCGCTCTTTGGTTGTGCTGGGGTTCCTCCGATCTTGATATGTGCTAAGCACAGGTTTCGGGGTATTCGGGGGGTGGGCCAAAGAAACCTTCTGACTGACTTCCGGTGTTTTTGTTGCTTTCAACATCAACTTGGCCCATGATATTCCCTTGGGCCCTTGCTCTACGAGGGGCTTGTTTTTCCGTTTTTTGTTTTTAAAGTATTTTGTTGTTTATTCATTCAGTCAATGGTTTTTTTGTGTATGCAGTAAACAAAAAAAAGTATTTATTTATTTATTAATTCAGCCAATGGTTTATTGTTTGTGTATGCATTCATTCAACTGTTGATTTAAATTTGTTTTTGCATTCATTCAATAGATGTTCAATGTTTATTTATTCATGTTTTTGTTTTGTTTTTAACTGTTTATCTTGTTTTAGAAAAACATCCTTAAGACCCTTGCATTGAAGAAGCTTCCGAAGACTCGTGGATTCCGTGGATCCCACATCAACAAGTCTCCATCTGATCGTTGAAAAACACAAATCAACCTTCACTGTTCTTGGCGTGTTTTTAGTTTTTCTTTTGTTGGTTCTGTTCATTTTTCGCTACCAAGAGATAGAGATGTTGAAAAACACAAAACAACGACTGGGTCATGACCCCCAAACATTTTTTGGGACCCGGATCTTTTTAAGGACCCGAACAAAATAAATGGGTTCTTATCCAAAGGGGTCGTGACCCCATAAATTAATGTCATGGAGACTCCAGGTAGACCAACCATTTTTGTCATGGGTCGGATTTTTCCGTCGACGCCAGGTAGCCCCTTTTGAGACTGAACGTGCTCAGGAAGCCCTGCGTTCCAAACCCACGCGAGATCTT